TTCACCATGAACTTGTCGCAGTCGAGCCGTAGCTTCTTCTTGGGATTAGCCTCCATGGCGAGGCGTTCTCTGCTGTCAACCGACGGAATCTGGACCAGGATTTGGACAAGCTCTTCGACGCAGCTTCTGGCGGTCTCCTTAGCATTTTTTAGTTGCTCCGAATCTTCGCTTTTTGTCTCGAAACACGCCCAGTCGTCAACCACAAACACGAGACCTTTCTTGAGAATGCACCAAACGATAAATATATCAAGGTCTTGCACTTTACGGATCTCCTCCATTTCAACGGCTTGTCCATAGAATGTGAGAAGCACGCTCATCCACAAGGTAAGCAGTGGAAACTTGATGAAACGCTTTACATCAAGGAACACGCACCTCCTCAAGCCCGACTGCTGGATGTGGTTGCAAACTGCATGAACCAAGACTGTCTTGCCCAAGCCTTGGGCACCCATCACAATGACCATGCCCCTCTTCAACTGTAAGATCCGCCGGTATAGGTCTTTAGCAGCTTCGCGTCCCGTCCCCCTCTATTGGCTGTTCCTCTTCATCCATCCCAGGCTGTTCCTCTTGTGTATGCCCATCAATCCCAGGCCAGAGAAGACGCATCGAGTCCGTCGTTACCCATAGGTAGGAGGTTCTTGACACTTTTCGTACAAAATCCAGGCCTAAAGGATTCTCGGAATCTTTTACACACATATATATAACTTTCCACCCAACTTGCCTGCGAGAAAGAAGAGCTTCTCTTTCTGGAGCGTGAAGGGATGGATCTCGGACATACATGAGAAATGCTATACTTTTTCCCAGCAAACGCAATTAAACAAATTTTTGTGATTAAACAAAGTTTGCGTTAGCGATCAATCACGGCCCATGGCTGGAGCGGTGAATTCGTTACCATGACTTGACTGGAATCCCTCCTTGGCTCATGTAGATCTTACTTCTAGAATTGGCAATTTTGGAAGGGAAGGAGAGTATCAGATTGGATCATAATTGGAGTGTCTGCGCCAGGATTGTCGCCAATTCTGTTCCAGGCCTCCCAAATAATCTAGATTTCAAGAAACAAATGTTTATTATATAATTTTAAGTTATAATGTTTTAAATTTATAGTTTTACTTGTGTATGTATATGTCCTACTTCTTCGAAGTAATAGATATGTAATATAAGTATGTACTAGCCCTCCTGGAGAAGTAGAGAGTGTTGAAAGATGTCCTTTTGGGCAGGACATCATCTCAGTTTATGCAATTTAAATTTCAAAAATAATATAATAGAACATTGTAGAGAGTGTGTAAGAGTGTATCCAATGCAGCCATTGCCAGTGCTTGAAGTGGTGGCAGTAAGAAGACTTTGTGCCCAAGTGTCTGTCGAAATTCCACAATGGTCTTTCTGACTGTGTTTGATATAGGAGCTCATGCCTAATAAGTCAGTCTCTCAAGTACCGGGGAATGTCGCATGGTGACAGTAAGCATGAACATAAGATTACTTGTTGCTTTTCAGCTTCACATTCTTTTGAGAGGAGCTCAAAATGGCCTCATGAAAGGTTGGTTGATGCCGTTTCCCTCACTTTTATCAAAGAGAAAGAATTCGGCAGGTCATGGATACCTCTAGTTATGAATCCGGTGAAAGGTTCTACACGGTTCCACAACCGAATGACTTCTTCTTTTTCCAGAGTAAAGGCATGTCTAGAAGGAAATTTGTGAGAGTAAGTGATATTAAAAAGGAGTTCAACCTGTATGCAAAGGACTGAGAAAATGTTAGTGACAGGTGTGTACTCCAATTGTTACCATTTGCAGTCGAGGCAATAGCTCCAACAGCTTTGCTTTTGTATTCGTTGCCAAATGGCCACCATTTATACAGGAACACCGCAAGATTTGCAAGAAAAGACACGTCGTTACCTGTGAGGATAAATGAAACATTAGAACATGAAATTATTGCTCATATCGCTACTTGTAAAGCCAACACAGATAGCAAAGCTCCAACAAGCATAGGCATAAGGCAAGAAGCTCGTTGGCAGCTATTAAAAATTGGAAACCTGGAGAAGAAGGCTTTTTGGTTCGAGAATGTGTGTCACAATAAGCACGTACCATTTCCATGTATTCTACAGCTTCCTGGATGTCTCTGCCCGCGCGGTTCGAACCCTGCCGTCCACGACATTTTTAAGTCGCTTGGAGCAGCGCTGATCTAAATACCAAAGACAAGGAGGGAAAGATCTCCATTTCTTTTTTTCAACTCCACTGACTTCTCTAAACACGCAGAGACGGGACTTCCTGTATCGAAGTACATTGCGACGACGCTAATCATGGTGGTGGTGGTGACAAAGACAGCGGCTCAGAGAAAAAATAAGCAAGCTCTATACTGGAGTTCCGGAGGCGGAAGTCTCTCAGATGATCCGCCATCCATGGAAACTGCCGTCGTCGTCGCTGGCATTGCTTTAACAGCATGGAAATGTACGTAGACCAAGTGTTCCAGTGGATATCCGTTTGACGCTTGAAATTCATTGTTACAAACCCTACACTGTAGAGGGGATATTCCCAGGGATATGCCCATCATTTTGTTGTGGCCATATCAACAGTGGCCCGGTTAGTCAACAGTGCCCCATTGACTGGGCCACCATTTGGGGCGAATGGGCTTCACGAAAGCGCCGCCGCAACCCTGGAGCTTCAGTCTGTCTTTAGCTGCCGCCTCCAGTCTCACCATCGCCAATCCTCGCGAGCCAAGAGCTGTGATGACAGTCCCCACTTTCTTCCCGGTTTCTCCATCCATAATCTCTGTGCCACGAGCCACTCCCTCGCGCATTTCTGCCATTAAACAAGCAAACCATGAGAGACCTTCGAAGTTTCGTGAGTTGCTTTCGAGGATGAAAGCTCACGACTAGCTGGAGACTCTAAAGAAGAGAGTTTTCTAAAGGCTGTGCCGTGTGTGGAGGGAGAGTTCAGATGCGAGAGGAAGGATGCACGCTCGCGTCGAGTACGAGATCCTAAAGAGAAACTAAAAGAATGGAGAGTAAGGAAAAGTACCTTCTCCGTTTTCCAGAACGAAGTTTACAGGCATGAGCCTCTTGCGAATTTCTCCTCGGTAATGCGTCCTTGCTATTAGTTCCTGTCCGACGTAGCAGCCTTTCTCAAAGCTGATGGCGTTGAGAGCGGCCATGTTGTACTCGAGTGGAATGGCTTCTCCTGGGAAAAGAAAGACAGCAGTTTACAACTTCTAAGTTTGTACGAAACCGTAAGTGGAAAAGTGATTAACTCACCTCCAGGAATTTCAGCCGGGCCCTCGGGAACTCCCTGCTCCAGTCGCCAGAGAAGGTAATACTCCTCGTCAACTTCTTGATCAGCTTCGATCAAAGGCGCTGTTCCAAAACAAGAGTTGATCAACAATTTCTTCTTGGTAAGTCTCTTCTCGTGACTGACAAACCTTGGACAGATTCTTACGTGTTATGCCAGAGGAGAAGACGCCACGGAATCCAAGCGCGTCGAGCCTGGGATCTTTAAACCATCGCCAGCCATTTCCATTTCCTTCCGCAGCGGTTGTCCCACTCAAGTCCCGGCCTCCAGCCCAGCCGATGTTGCCAGCGCCAGTCTCGGAAGTGGAAGAACCTGCTAGAGCACCGCCAAAGCGTTGCCAGGCGCAGAGATCCTTCGAAAGGTCCTCGATATTGACTTTGGAGCGTAAAATGTACCTGGAGGAAGATTAAAAACCGAAAAAGTTTTACATACGTTGGACAAGAATTTAAGAGATGCATCTGGAAAAACAAACAAGAAACCTGATGGAACGTAAGCAAATGAAAACCATTCGACTGTGACATATACAAATTCATTGTTTTTATACAAACAAGGAAAAACTAGCATTGCAAAGTCGCACCCAGGCAGAGAAGGAAACATAAAATAAAGAAGCGAGGCAACAGCAGAATGGAAAGACGAAAAAAAGGTATCGGAGCAAATTCCAGGACATGCCCATTATGACATAAAAGAATTTTTTTGCGATGAAATAAACTTGCAAAAACACCCCAGCCAAAGAAAAAAGAAAAAAAGGAGAATGGAGCGAGAAACATACTAATAATGAAAGCAACCAAAGAAAAAAAGGCACTAGAAAACCAAGAGGAAGAACTTGAGAAAGAAGAAATCGAATTTTGGATACCTTTTGAGATAAGCGATGAGATCGTCAAAACTGGCAGCATCCACATCGGCAACGAGCTGTGGAACACTCTTGCCAGCCCCTGGAGCATCGCCACCCTTGCCCAGCTTCTCGGATTCCTGCACAGGCTTGTAGAGGAACATATCAAACAAGAACCTCCCCTGGGGGTTGAGAATCCCAGTGTAGATTGGGGGCTGGACGACGCCCGGCTGATTGGGAGTGGGCGTTCCCAGCTTGGCGGAGTGCTCGTCGGCCTCGAGCTGGAGAACGTCGTTGGTTGCCAGGCCTTGCAGGAACTTGAATGTGTCGTCGCCATCGAATCCCAGCACGGCGCGGCTCTTGAGATGCGAGGCAAAGGGGCCGCGATCGGCCAGCGCCGTGGCGCCAGACGAGGAGAGATCGGATGGCGCCCCCCTGGATTCAGCTGCTGGGGCATTCTGGGCGAGGAGCCTGGAGAAGACGCGCGCCACATTCACCCGCTTCATCGTCGAGACTGAAGAACCCTAAAACTGTGATGGACACGTTACACGACACGCGTCCTGTAGTAATAGATTTCCTTTTTTCTCTTTTCTTTGGATTTTAAATGTAATACACCCCTTTGTCTTACATTTGGTGTAATTAGTGAATACGTGTAGATGTATTTTCCTTTTTTCATACACATTTTAATGAGCAATACATGCCAAATTGAAAATCTTACAAACACCAGTACCAACCATTTGCATACTTGGGGTGCCCACTTCCACAGAATTAAAATACTTAGATTTTAATGCCTTTTGGGCAGAAATCTTTTTGTGAGGATCCACCTCTAGCATCCTTGCCATAAGCTTCACAGTGCTTTTATTGCCTACTATAAGCTTCAATTCTGACCATGAATTCTATGCTTGAATTAATTCCATCATCTGGCTTTTCCAATCCTCCTCATTCATAAATTCATAGTCTATGGGATTAAATAACCGAAACCCTAGAACTAACTCTGCAAAAACACACCCGACTGCCCATATGTCTATTGCTGTAGAGTAAAGGCCCCTCTCACCTTTGAGTTGCTTAGGAGAATGATATGATAGTGTCCCAAAACATTCCCTAGGTTGTTCCCACAACCTTCGTGTGTGACCAAAGTCAGCAAGCTTCACCACGCCACCTTTCACTAGCAGATTTTCAGGCTTTATATCCTGGTGGACGATCTTGTTGGAGTGGATCCATGCAAGCCCTGAAAGGATCTGCCCCATGAAAGATCTAATCTCTTGTTTTTCAAGCCTCCTGTGATGTTTTAGGTCTGTTTCCATCAGGTCAAAGACCATAAAGCTACCATTCTTGTTTGTTGTAACATCCAGAAGATTGATAATATTCACATGCCCAGCACACTCTTCCAAGATTTCTACCTCGTTCACCATAGCATTCAAAATAGAGTGCTCTTGTCCTAAATACTTAATTGCTACCTTATTATTGTTTTGATTGTTACACCCCAGCATCATTTTTCCTTCACTACCACGCCCTAACACTCTCCCGAAACTGTATTTTTCCATGTCTTGATCGAAAAACGATAATTAGGGCAGTGCACTCTTCATTGAATTAAGTCAAAAGGTAATTAAGTTAAACATTAGTGCTTAACTACCTCTTCACAGTAAAAAGTCTTTCCATTTCATTGCGCATGGAAGAAATTTTTCTTTACATAGACCAGACCACTGGAGAACCTGTTTGCAAAAGAAATCAAGACGAAAAAAACCAAGCAAGATGAATGAAAGGAATGATATATACACACCCAAATGAGTAAGCTCTGGTAGCACGCTGGAACTCGAGCTTGCTCGAGCTCAGCCATGGCACACCGCAGCAGTGGGCATGGATCGGCAAATGTTGGCATACTTCTTGATGGCCTCCTTGGTGCCGGGCTTTGGCTCGCCCTCTGGAACCGGCGGAATAGCGTGGGCAGCTCCAGTGGCAACCATGGACAAGAGTGCCACTCCCACACTCGCAACCATGGCCCTGCGTTTGATCACTTCGTCCTTTATCTCGCTGGCTTGGCACCTCACCACCGAGCTCACTCCCCCGGCTTTCCTGTTCCTGTTCGTCGTGATAGTGGCCTTGGTGCTAGCGATCGAGGAGAGCGAGGAGGCCAGTGCGCTCGCCATGGCTGCTGCTACTGCTGTCCCTGTTAAGTTTGTAGCTCTTCCTCTACTATACCTCTTTTGGCTTCCACCTCTTTTGTGTCACTTGGTTTTGCTCATAAACACCATCCGATGCCAAGGATGCCAATTGGATGACCGTGGATAAGCTGGAGATAAGGTTGTGAATGGCCGCAGTGTAGCTTCGTGGCTCGGGCAGTGGCCGTTGGATCCACTGCCTTGCTTAGAACCATAAACTTTACTTGGAAAAGATAAAAAACGCACCGAAGCACAAGTGAACCGTTGGCCAGGACCTTTACTTCTTCTTCTTCTTTGGAAAGGACTTTGCGCTTCCTGGTGCCGGAGGCAATAGAGTTTGCAGCTTCTCGTCGAAGAGGTTGAGATTTTCCACCTCCTCCCTCAACGCAACTAGAAAACGCGAGAATCAAGACGTGATCAAAGTGGAGATGCAGCAAACTTTGAAAAGCCGTGTACCTGTTTTGGGATCTAAAGGCTCCAAAACATACTTTGGCGGCTCGATGAGGCTTGTCGTGGTTGCTGGCGGCGGCGGTACTACAGGGTGCTCTGGATAAGCCGGGGCTGGTTTATAAGGCCGCATCAACGCAAGCTGGGACGCTCTCTTCTCGAAGAAAGTGTTTGCGAGATTGATCGCTCCCACTTTGATGTTCTCATTCTCTTCCTTGAAGTCGTCGGGTATGTCCTCAAAATCTTCGGGATGTTTCTCTCTGCGTTTCTCTGGAAAAACAGAAAGAGAGCAAAGAGACACAAATCAGCACACAAGAAAGTAACCAAATCCGTCACCTCATAGCCAAAGTCGCTTTGCTAAATGGCTCTACACTCTAACCCGACCCCTCAAGGCAGCACATTCACGGTGGTGATGGCAGGCAGGGTTGGCTCAGAGGCAACGGATGATTCGTAGACCTATAAAGCGACGTCGCTGCTTCTCGATGGAATGTAGCCTTGTCAAGAGATGAAGCATGTCCTCTCGTAGCTTCCGTTGCCTGTTCCAGGCAACCTTCTCGGCTACCATCTTTTCATGTTTCTGGGGAGAAAAAAGAAGTTTTTTAGACTCGAGAAATCGCAGACGAGAACTTACCTTGATCAAGTATTTGTCCGTCTCATAGTGCTTGTATAGATCGGTACTCCTTGCCGAGCGATGGCAAAGCAGGAAATCGTGTGTATGACCACCCTGAGAAACAAAAAAATGTAAAAAAGAAAAAATTTTCTTTCTCCAGAAGAAGCTGTGCTTACCATTTCCCAGGGCTTGCAAAGAGCTCGCAGCAACACATCGGCATCGTATTGCATCGCCGGCTTCTCGTGTGGCGCCTTCATGAACGACTGTCGCCTGGCGCTGGCGGCCTTCTCGATCTCACCCTTGGGCGCCGAGAGCTTGCGATCCACGGCGGCGCGATCCAAGCCCACACTGGGCGCCTTGGGCGGATCCATGGCCATCGGCCCAGTCCTGCGAAAGAACCGGGAAAAATGTAAGCCCTAACCGATGCGTGCGTCGAAAAAGTACCTCTACGTGTCATTCTTTTCTTCTACGTGGCCCATCTCCAGCCGTTGTATCACCCACGTCATTAGCCCAGCTGACATGGCGAGCTCAACGTGGCTTCTCCGCCGGCAAACACGTCAGCAAACATCGATTGACGTGGATATGGTTTCCCGCGCGGCAATCAAACTTGAAACGAGGACGTACACTGGTGGGTGCCGTACGTCGAGCCGCAATGCGCCAGTGGCCGCCCTATTCCCGCTCTTGGCGCCCGAGTGGTTCTTGCAAGCTCCGAGCAAGCACGTCCAGTCCAGGAGCTCCGGGACGTAGGGCATGGATGCGATGAGATCCTCCGCGGCATCCAGATGCCCTAGGCGGCCCAGGAGATCTAGGATGCAGCAGTAGTGCTGCTTCGAAGGCTGGATCCCAAAATCCATGGCGATGGACGCGAAGAAGCTCCGCGCCGCCGCCAGATCGCCGCTGTGGCTGCACGCCGCGAACACCGACACGAAGCAGGTATCGTCGATGCAATCCTCCAGCTTCATCGCCTTGAACGCGTCCAGGGCGGCGGAGCTCTGCCCTGCGATCGCAAATGCCGCCAGCATCGACGTCCAGGAAACTGTGTCGCGCTCCGGCATTCGATCCATGGTTTTCCTCGCGCGATCCAGGCGGCCGTGCTGCGTGTAGCACGCCAGCATCGAATTCCAGGAGATGAGATCGCGCTGGGGCATCTCCGCGAAGATAATCTCCGCGTCGCGGATTTGCCCGTTCTGGGAGAAGGCCGCGAGCATCGCGTTCCACGACACTGGCTGGTGTTGGGGCATGGAATCGAACACGCGCTTGGCCTCCTCCACGTAGCCCAGCGACGAATATCCCATCAGCATCGAGGTCCACGACACGGAATCTCGTTGCTCCATGCCATCGAACAGGCATTTGGTGTTCTCTAGATCCCCGCTCTGGGAATATGCCACCAGCATGACATTGCAGCACACCACGTCCAGCCGTAGGATTCCCTGGAAGATACCATGGGCTTTGTGAATATGCCCTTCTCGGGCATATCCCGCAAGGAGGGCAGTCCAGGAGAGTAGACTGTGCTGTGGCATATTCTCCATCAGGGAATGTGCTCTCTTCATATCACCCGTTTGGATATACGCTACCAGCATTGCCTTCCACGTCACCAGGTCCCCTTCTGGCATTCCCTCGAACAAACGCATGGCCTCCTTTACTTGCCCTGACTGCGCATATCCAGTCAGCATGGCATTCCACGTCACGAGATTCCACTGAGGCATGGCATCAATCAAATTCCTTGCCTCTGCCAACTTGTCAGTCTGGACATACCCAGAAATTAATGAGTTCCATGAAACTATATCATGAGAGGGCATTTGATCAAACACACCCTTTGCAAGATTGAGAAAGTTAAAATGAGCATAAGCTCCTAAGAGTGCATTCCATGACCTGAGATCTCTTTCTGGCATCTCGTCAAAGAGGACTTTGACAGAATCTATGGATCCCATTCTGGAATAGGCACCCAAGAGTGCGTTCCAAGTTACAAGATCCCTGTGAGGAACCTTTTCAAAGATCTCTACAGCTGAGAAGAGATGCCCGTTTTGGGCATAGGCCGAGAGCATTGCATTCCATGATGCAAGAGAAGGTGACGAGAGATTCTTAAACACAGCCTTAGATTCCTGAAGATCCCCGTTTTGGGCATAAGCGGAGAGAAGAGTATTCCAGGAAATGTCGTCAATAAATGGCATTGTGCTGAAGAATCGAGCAGTTTCTTTCATATGCCCTTGCTGAGCATAAGAAACCAGCAAACAATTCCAACAAGCAATGTCATGCTCGGGCATTTTATCAAACAATTCCTTTGCCTGATCAAACTCCCGACTTCGATTCAAGGACCCCAAAAGCGTTGTGAAAGATATCAAGTCCTTTTCAGGCATTCCCTCAAGGAAATCTCTTGTTGCGTCGTGATTCCCAGCCTGTGAAGCATATCCACACAACATTGTGTTCCAGGTGACGGAATCTCCCACAGGCATGGCTTCAAAGATCTGCTTGGCCTCCTCCAAAAGGCCATTTTCGGTGTATGCAGCCAACATGGTGTTACAGGAAAGAACACTTTTATGAGAACTGGATTCAAAGAAACACTTTGCTCTCTCCAACTTTCCAGATTGAGTATATCCACCCAGTAAAAGATTCCAGGAAATTGGATCCGTCTGAGGCATTGCAGCAAAGGTTTTCTCTGCGTCTACGACATACCCCTTTTGGGCATAGGCACCCAGCATTGTGTTCCAGGACACCATATCCCGCTGAGGCATCTTCTGGAATATCTTGTAAGCCTCTGCAATATGCCCGTTCAAGGCACATCCGGAGAGCATTGCGTTCCAGGAAATCAAGTCTCTCTCCGGCATTTCGCTGAAGGTATTTAGCGCTTGCTCGCAGTTTCCCTGCTGGAAATTTACACACAGCACTGCATTGAGCGACACCAGACTCCAAGCAGGCATGTCATCAAACACAGCCTTGGCTGCTTGAAAATCTCCAATGTTGACGTAGCAACCAAGAACAATGTTCCAGGAGACAACGTCCCTCATAGGAATGTTTTCAAAAGCTTGCCCAATCTCAAACACATTCCCACTTTGGGCATATGCCGTGAGCATAGAGTTCCACGAAACCAAGTTCTTTTGCGGCATTTTCTTGAAAACATCTTTTACCTCTGTCAAGCCCCCAGATTCGGAATATGCGTTTAGCATAATTGTCCACGAAATCACGTCACAGTAAGCCATTCTCTCGAAGATACTTTTAGCTTCATTAAGATACCCCCTCTGGGCATAAGCATCAAGCATGGCGTTCCAGCAAACGAGGTCCCGCTCTTCCATTCTCTCAAATATTCTTTTTGATTCCACCAGATCCCCTTCACGGCCATAAGCAGCTAGCATGACAGTCCACGAGAGAACAGTGTGCCGTGGCATTGCATCGAATATGCGCCTGGCATCGTCTAGATGCCCGTTCTTGGTGTAGGCGGAGAGCATCGCTTCCCACGAAAACATGGTCTTGTCTTGTGGCAGCGAATCGAAAACTTCCCTCGCGAGCTTGGCATTTCCACACCTTGCATACATGTCTATCACTTTGTTCCACACAAAGTCGTCGTTCTCTTGGATGGAACGAGTGTTCTTTACTCGAGCGTGAGCTTCTCTGGCTGCGGGCAGCGTTTTGCAGGACTGGATCAAAGACAGGCATTGGGTTCTGTCCATGACATTGGAAAAGAGTGTTTGATCTTGTATATCATGAAGATTTAACTTTGAGTTAATTTTATACTTAAGGAAAAAGCCATGCAACTGCCAATTTTTGCCTTATGGGATTTACTACTCTTTGCATAGTTAGGTTTTATCAATGGGGCTCTTGTTTTGCTGGGAAACGTCCCAAACATTGTCAACTCCACAAGACTTTGCGAGTCATGTTTTTCACCGGTAGAGTTGAGCTTCTTACACCATTTTTACCATGTACTCTTCGCTTTCTTACAGTGGGTAACACACGGGCGAGACATCCGGAACAGCCGCTACTCTTCAAGGGACTCTCAAATCTCTGAAAATTCCGCCCGGCGAGGTTTGATCCAGCGGTGGAGATTCAATGCCGGCCTGGACGTGAGTGCCATGCCGTTGATTTCGAGCTGGGGGAAGGTCTTCTTTCCGAGCTGGAATGGCTGGGTGTTTTGCGTTGACTTTTACGGCGGGCTAGCGGAAGGTTAATCTGGCCGACATTATCAAGATAAATGGAACTTTTACCCTATCTACGCCGGTTCTTGTGGAAGAACTTGAAATGGTGCTGGTCGGGGTGAATGGTCTGCCGGTGATAATCACGCTGGGGGTAGAAAATGGATTCGCCCAAGAACACAGATCACCATGTCGGGCACTGCGTATCAAGGGTATAACTCTCCAAATTTCTTGTTTCTAGATCTTCTCATCAGTGTGATGTGATCACCAGTGGCTATTTTGTGGGTGTTTCTTCCGCGCAAGAGGTCTTTGAGCCGGATTGCTGCTCATTCCAAGGGAGCTTCCAAAAGCTCGATCTCCGGACAGGGGAGGTTCTATGGCGGACGTCGATGCTGCCAGAAGGCAGCGGATTCACAGGCGCAGCGGTGTGGGGCAGCAGTCCCCCGATCGAAAAGCGCCGGAGGCTCATCTACATCGCAACTGGGAATCTATACACGGCTCCCAGAGAGGTGGAGGAATGCGAGGCCGCGCGCGCGACCAACACAACAGGCAGGAACCCCGATGATCCATTCCACCACGAATCCGTCGTCGCGCTCGATCTGGACAGTGGAGAGATCTGCTGGGCCGCGCGGCTTGGCGAATTGGATGTGTGGCGATAGGCCTGTGATGTTCCACCCGGCCCAGCAATTGCCCGGACGAACCTGGTGAAGACTATGATTTCGGGCAGTGCCCAATTCTCCTCACGACCCGCGATCGCCGGGACATCCTCGTCGTCGCTCAAAAGAGTGGCATCGTCTGGGCGCTGGACAGGGCGAGCGGCAGCGTCATCTGGGACACGGTTGGCCAGCCTTTACCCGCCATTTTGGCCCTAACCCTAAAGTTTGAATTTAAAGGTAGCTGGGCGGACGGCGAGCGCGTCTACGTCCCATTCGCGAATAGCAATGGCGCGAATTTCACCCTAGCGCCCACTAGCGAGGTCACCAAGGGCGGGGGATGGTGGCCATCTAGTATGACCACTGGCCGGATCGCGTGGTCTGCGGCCAACCCTTACAATGCGCCGGTGTACGGCCCCACGTGTGGCCAACGGGGTCGTGTTTGGGGGCTCGTTTGAGGGCCACGCCATCGCGCTGAGCGCTCGGTCCAGGGATATTCCGGATCGAGCATCTATGGGTCGCGTGTGGGTGGGATCCGGATATGCCGCGGATCGGCAAGCCATTGGAGATTCGGTATTCGCATTTTGCGCAAAATCATGATTATCAAATTTTAATTAAGCATGTTTCAAAATAAACATGATTATCATGCTACTTAATCAGATTTTATGGCAAGATAAGTTAAGATGTGGTTATTAAAACAAGGTTAAATTTTATCGCTAAAACCCTAAGGGGGCGGAGCGGCCATGGAGATGGTGCGTAATGCCGTCCACTCCGTGCGAAGCATCCACTACCGGCAGCTCGCGACGCAGATCATCAGCTTGGGTGAGTGATCAGATCTACAGCGCCGCGGCGCCGGCGATCTGGAGATTTGGGTTTTTTTGAGGTGAATGTGGGGCTTAGTTTCGGTGGAATTGTGCTTGTACAGGGATGATCGTCACTTCTGCGCTGATAATCTGGAAGGGATTGATGTGCGTGACTGGGAGCGAGTCGCCGGTTGTGGTGGTTTTGTCCGGCAGTATGGAGCCTGGCTTCCAACGGGTAAGCAATTTTATGGTTTTTTGCTAGAAATGTTCTTCGTTTTCTTTCAGGGTGACATTCTCTTCCTGAGGATGACCAAGGATCCCATCCGAGCGGGAGAAATCGTGGTGTTCAACGTCGATGTAAGTGGCCAATCTCTCTCGAAGAGTTTTGCAAAGTCTTGCAACTTAAGCTCCGGGGTTCTTGCAGGGTCGAGACATACCGATCGTCCACCGCGTGATCAAAGTCCACGAACGCCAGGAAACTGGAGAAGTCGAGGTTCTCACGAAAGGTTGGTTTCTTCGATTTCTTTTCTAGAAATCTCTGTGTGTGTGTGTGTGTGTCTCGTGAACTCTCATGAATCAGTGATCTTCGTTTTCTAGGCGACAACAATTACGGTGATGATAGACTCTTGTATGCGCAAGGCCAGCTCTGGTTGCAAAGGCATCACATAATGGGCAGGGCTGTGGGGTGAGTGCTTCGATCTGGCTCGCAAAAATCCTTGTTCTCATCGTGCGTTTTCTCGCAGGTTTCTCCCTTACGTTGGCTGGGTTACAATTATCATGACCGAGAAGCCAGTGATCAAGGTCTGGTTTTCCTTCTCATCTTTGATGTTCTTGCTGATTTTTTTGTTTTTTCGATTTGATCGTCCGCGCAGTACATTCTGATTGGAGTGTTGGGGCTACTGGTTTTGACATCCAAAGAGTGATAAAAAAATCTAACTGATCATTTGCATTTTGGAACAATTGACAATGGTTTACGTGGCGGGTCTTTAGTGATGGCGTGTCATAGTAAGCTGGTGACATCAGCCCTACATTTCAAAGTTTACTTAGCACGCGCGACGCAGATCATCGGCTTGGGTGAGAGCCTTGAAGTCGCCAGTTCTTGCGAGGAGATTTCTCGATCGTTTGGAAATTTCTTTGCAGGACTGATCGTCACTTCCGCGCTGATGATCTGGAAGGGAGTAGTTGTCGTCTTAACTGGAAGCATGGAACCCACCTTTCGTTTGGAAGTATGATACAATCTTAAGATCATGTTCTTCTTGTCAGCGGGATTTGCTTTCTTGAAGATCATTGAGCAAAGAGCCCCCGTGTTTAACCTCGATGGAAGTCTCCCGATCTCTCTAGAACTTTGAAAGCTCGTCTTGCAGGGACGAGACATACCGATCGTCCACCGAGTTATCAAATCCCAACAAACATCAAGAAACTGGAGAAGTTGAGGTTCTCACGAAAGGTTGACTGCTTTTTTTTCCTTTCTTTTTTGACCATAACCCGGCCGATGATCGGTTCTTGTATCCTCGAGGCCAGCTCTGGCTGCAAAGCCAACACATTATGGGCAGAGAATCTCGAAAACTTTCGCAAAGTCATGTTTTTAATCTGCAAAAGCTTTTTCGCAGATTTCGCAGTATAGATTTTATTTAGTTTCGCAGTACATACAACTTGGAGCTCTCGGTTTGATGGCTTTGGCTTCGAAAGAGTTAACTTTACTGCCAAGACGTTTTCACCGCATGAAAGTAAGCGTCGTGTGCTTACTTTGATTGCGAATCGTCAAAAAGGGGATCGAGCACAACAACCCATCAAATAAACCAGAGATTCCCCTCCACGAGATGCTCGTGGAATATTCCCGAGAATTCTACCACCGCCATTCGCTCACGTGTCCGGGCGCTGTCCGTGCGATGCCCTCCCATCCGACGCTCCGTACGCCTCGAAGGGTTTTCTTCGGCTGAGCGCCCTCTGTGTGTGTGTGCGCGTGCGCTGTGCCGGTTCTCATGGCGTGACGGAGCTAGGGTTCGTCGGGAGGAGCTCGCAATCGCGACAATTCGGCTCGGCGTCGAGGTATTTCGCGGGCGCGCGGCTCGCGCATTTTGGAAAATCTCTGGCCGGGATCTGTTGACTAGCGCGATCTGCAATTCTATGGTGTGGAATTCGGTGCTGCGTAGCTGCTAGCGGGATTTGTGAGGCAGGATCCGGAATTTCAGAAGCGAATTTCTCCCAATCACCATGGGATCGTTCGGTCTCGAGTCACTCCCGGTTCTCCTGTCCGATGTGTCGTCGCTGGTTTTGGTGCTGGCGGTATCCGCCAGTGCCTTGATAGTATCGATCGTTTTGTTGTTCTGGAGGAATGCTCCGGCCAAGAAGGAGGAAGAGAAGAAGATGTTTAAAAAGCCAACGATTGAAGTGGAAACCGAGGACGACGATCCCGACAAGAAGAAAGTTTCTGTTTTCTTCGGTACCCAAACAGGGACTGCCGAAGGCTTTGCCAAGGTTTTTCTTTCTCTCTTTTTTTCTTTGTGATGTTGTGATGGACTGAGAACTCTTGGCAGGCTATCGTAGAAGAAGCGAAGACAAGGTATGACAACTCGAAGGTCGTGTTCAAGCTTGTAGATTTGGTGAGATAACTATTTTGACCGAGTGTTATCAGATTGAGATCCATTTGATGTTTTTATCTGGCAGGATGAATACGCTCCAGAAGATGACATGTACGAGCAGAAGTTGAGAAAGGAGACGCTTGTGATTTTTGTGATGGCCACGTAAGTTCTTCCCCGAATTTGCCAGGTGTTCTTACTTGTTGATGCATTTTAGATACGGCGATGGAGAACCGACGGATAATGCTGCTCGCTTTTACAAATGGTTTGTCGAGGTATTTGATATTTCCTTGTACGTACGTGTCATCGAAATTTTGATGTTCCGTTTTCAGGGGGAAGAGAAAGAACCGTGGCTGGGAAACTTAAGCTACGCTGTTTTTGGTCTAGGAAACAGGCAATATGAGCACTTCAACAAGGTATGCGAGTTTACGTTGTTTGGCGAGCATAATCTTTATCGTTATCGTCCTTGCAGGTTGCAGTGGAAGTCGACGAAGCATTGGAGAAGCAAGGTATATCATACGATGGTTTTTTTTTTAGTTTTTCCTCAAAACTTTCTGCAATGCAGGTGCAAAGCGGCTACTGAAATGCGGTCTTGGTGACGATGATCAGTGTATTGAGGATGATTTTACGGCCTGGTAAACATGTCACTGAATTAGCATTCGTTTCTTATCTTTCCGTTTGCTTAGGCGTGAGCAATTGTGGCCCGAGCTTGATGTGCTACTGCGTAGCGAAGATGAAACCGGCTCTGCGACCCCTTACATGGCTGCAATTCCTGAATATCGTGTGGTTATTCATGAAGGAGGCACAAAGGCTTATGAGAAGGTCGCAAGGAACGGCGAATCTCTGTGTGACATAAGCCATCCTATCAGGTAGGAATCTACCAAACTGTTTGTTTTTGTCCGTGCTTCTCACTAGCGATACTTGCAGATCTCCTGTTGCTGTCCGGCGTGAGCTTCACACGCCCTTATCGGATCGCTCGTGCACTCACTTGGAGTTCGATATTTCTTACACCGGCTTGACGTAAGTCCTATATATGTGGTTTAATTTTTGTCTCATTGTAACGAACAGATATCTCACTGGGGATCACGTGGGAGTTTTTGCTGAAAACCAAGATGATGTTGTAGAAGAGGCGGCTAAAGTACTTGGATATTCGCTAGACACAATCTTCACACTGCACGGTGACAACGAGGATGGGTCACCCCTTTCAGGTGTGCCTCCTCCTTTCATGGGGCCGATCACAATGAAGGCGGCTCTTCAACAGCATACCGATCTGCAAAATCCTCCTCGAAAGGTAACTACCTGTTCTCTGCTTCTCTTCTAACGTGTTGATTGTCTTCAGGCAGTACTTTCCGTTCTTGCTGCCTATGCCTCCGATCCGGAGGAGCAAGAGCGACTGAAACACTTGCAGTCGCCACAAGGAAAGGTGTGTTTTCAAACTTTTACTCCTTATTTTACTAACTTGTGGCTACAGGACGAATATTCTCAATATATTGCTGCAAGCCAGAGAAGTCTTATTGAAGTTTTGCAAGATTTTCCATCGGTAAAATTGCCCATTGGTGTCTTCTTTGCTGCGGTAGGGGCCCGGTTGCAACCGAGATACTACTCCATTTCATCGTCTCCCAGGTACGAAAGTCTTTCTCACTTTTACTGTCTTAATGATCTGGAGCAGGTTTTCGCCGAGTCGGATACATGTCACTTCTGCTTTAGTGTATGTAAAAAGTCCAACTGGTCGATTACATCGAGGTGTTTGTTCTACATGGATGAAAGTAAGATCTTTGTCTCTCTCTTTTTTTTCTCTCTCTCTCTTGTTTCTTATTCACGTGTTTACATGTGGACAGCATGCAACAGCGTCGGAAGAAACAGGAAATGACTGCAGTTGGTCACGTATTTTTGTCAGGCAATCTACGTTCAAGTTGCCGTCAAAGTCCACTGTTCCTATAGTGATGATTGGACCTGGAACAGGCTTAGCTCCTTTTAGAGGTTTTTTGCAGGTGAGCAAGCGTCTTTCGTCATAAATCATTTAGCGCACCATGTTTTTCTACAGGAAAGGGCTGCCCTCCAAGAATCTGGCGAGCAGCTGGGAACTGCGATTCTTTACTTCGGCTGCAGGAACCGGAAACAAGTAAGCTTGGCTGGAGTTTTAAAGCTGTAATCGATTCCTACTTTGCAACGCAGGATTATATATACGAGGAGGAGCTTGCAAGATACCGGGAGACGGGCATTATCACAGATTTGTACGTAGCATTCTCAAGGGAAGGCCCGACGAAAGAGTATGTGCAGGACATCATGATGAAGAAGGTATGAGAAAACGTAAACGGGGGAGTGTTTCGTGACTGTCGCGCTTTTTTCAGGCAAACCAGTTGTGGGACATAATCTCCAGCGACGGATATATTTACGTCTGTGGAGATGCAAAAGGAATGGCAAAGGACGTGCACCGCACACTCCACACGATAGTCCAGGAACAGGTGCCGGATTTCATTCCTCGTAACGTTTTTGTCCCTGATTTTATTCCCGTTTTTATCTCAGGGCTCGTTGGACAGCTCCAAAACAGAGGCTTTTGTCAAAAAGCTCCAGATGGATGGCCGCTATTTGAGAGACGTGTGGTAACAGCAGCTAGGAAGTAAACAAAAGGATACATCGAAACGATGTAAGATTTTGGCGCTCGTTCGTCGATTCTTTCCACGGATTATGCTATGTTTCTCTTTTTTTTTTTTATAATGTAGACAGGCGCTTGATGTAGAAGGTGGCCGAGTTGAGTTGGCCGCCCATGAAAAAAGGATAACATCATATTGGCTGATGGGAGATCCTGTTGGCTTGTTTGTTATTGGCGAGCATGAACGAAGGTTTTGTGCTCCGGGCTACTGTTAAAATTTGGATTTGTATGACTTGGAAGGTTCTAAGTTTATGATTCTATATTCCTGTATGTATGCTAATATGCTAATATGCTCTAAGACTTAGCTCGTCGTATTGTTAGCATCGCTAACTTCGCAGTTTGCACTGTCTTTTCTTTCATCTTGTCTCCTCAGGTACAGGCTAAGTCTCAAACTTTGTCGAGGCTAAAAGCTTCAGGCTATGGCTTTGGAGCTCGAGAAACTAAGAGCGCTCGAGCTGTTATGTCAGGTCCCTTCGCTTCGCTCGCAACGACGCTCGCAGAGACGGCTCGTAGTTCGACCAGCAGCCGCTTCATCGGCCTCAGTAGAATCTGCAAAGCCGAGCAGTGAGTGGAAGTTTTGTGCAAACAATTGGACACATTGTCTCTGATACGAACTTTTGTTCTTGCAGGTTCCTTCGCTACCGCTCCGCAAGGCGTCATGACACTTCCCAGGACAGTGAGTCCTCCGAGTAGCAAAGAAGTGACAATCCGAGAGCCAGCAATCGAAGACGTGCATGCATTCTGGGATTACCAGAGGATTTTTGGCTCGCAACGAGCTGAAGTTAAGGATCCAGTCCGGCTCAAAGTCGTGGAGGGACGAATTCCGAGCGATTTAAAAGGGTCCTACTATCTCTGTGGTCCGGGTCTCAGGGCGGATGATCATGGATCCTGCGTAAGTCCTCTCGACGGTCATGGATACCTGAGAAAGTTTCACTTTGGCAATGGAGATCTCGTGCAATACTCGGCAAGGTTCGTCGTTGGATTGTATTTTTTTTCTAGTGTTGATCTTATCCTGATTGTCCTTTGGCAGATATGTGAGAACGGAAGCGATGAAAGAAGAATTCGACGAGGAGTCCCGCTCGTGGAAGTTTCAGTACAGGGGGCCCTTTTCCCTGTTAAGACATGGCCACCGCATTGGCAACTTCAAAGTGATGAAGAACGTCGCAAATACCAGCGTGTTGAAATGGGGAGGGAAACTCTTGTGTCTTTGGGAAGGAGGTGAGCCGTACGAAGTCGACGAGGACACCCTCGAAACCATTGGAACTTTCAGGTGATTTCATACCAACTTTGCAGCTCTCCAACCCAATGCTTTCGTTTCCATGCAGACTTCCATTTGAAGAATCGGGAAAGGATGATAGACTGCAAAGCTCTGTAGCGCTTGATCTGTGTGCCAGGGCCCTGCTTCCCATACTCACAGGTATTCTATACTAGCATGCTGATCGCTTGTTAAGCTTTTATCCTGCAGGAGGATTTAACATGCCAAAAGAGAGAGTTTTGGCTCACTTCAAGATCGACGAGAGGAGGCAAAGACTTGTGGTGATCACGTCGAATGCTGAAGATATGGTGCTACCGAAGGCGACATTCACTGCCTATGGTACGATAAACATTCTTTCTCGTCAGAGCTATTAATGTGTTTTTGTTCTACTTGTGTAGAATTTGATGCAGACTTCAAGCTGATACAACGTAAGGAATTTCTTCTCGACGATCAGTTAATGGTTCACGACTGGGCTCTTACTGACGAGCACTATGTCATTCTCGGCAACAGGGTGACGCTCGATGTTGGCAGTAAGTCCATTCTTCTTTTCATTCGAAACAAAGTAAGATCCTGTTTGTATTTGAATGTAGGTTCGCTCACTGCAATGGCGGGCCTTTCTCCCATGATAAACTGCTTGGCAGTGGACGAATCAACAACGTACAGTCCCTTGTATATGCTTCCTCGATTCGACGAGAGAAACGGACGGGATTGGACTGTGCCTGCTAAAATTCCGGGTCAGCTTTGGGTGACCCACATTGCCAACGCAAGCGAAGAAACATTGGAGGGGGGGCACAAAATTAGATTCGTCGTCGACGCGTGCCTCAGCTCTTACAAGTGGTTTTCACTAAACAGCATATTTGGTGAGTTTGTAAGCTCTTATATATCCAATAGTGATGAGTTTCCTCTCTTTCTTGTTCCAGGATACAAGTGGCAAGAACAGCATATGGATCCGGGCTGCATGAACAACACTTCCTCCTCCAAGTTCAAGCCGGAGCAGCTACAGTCTCCAAGAATGCACCGAGTGACTGTGGACGTCAGCAATCTCGATGACAGCATCCTCTTGCAAAAGTCGGAACGATTCAAGAATGCCAACTTCGCGACGGACTTTCCGGTTATAAACTCCACAGCTTCGGGCGGCAAGAACGAGTTCACGTACGCTACCACAAACTCAGGCCGGCGCAAGACCCTCTCGAGCTTTCCAATGGACAGCATCACGAAGCTCCACGGGCCAAGCGGCCGAGCATCGTCATGGTGGGCTGGGGAAAGGTGTGCTGTTGGAGAGCCACAGTTTGTCAAGAGGAAGAGCTCCCAAGGTGGCGAAGACGATGGTTACGTGATCTTTGTCCAGGTAAAGTTCTACGCCCAAGCAAAGTGCTTGAACAAGCTCTAATCTTTTTGTTTGGCTCTTCCATTCTCAGTACTCGTTTGTGGACGAGAGACGCTACTTGGTGATCCTGGACGCGCGTCGCATTGGCGCAAGGGACGCTCTCGTGGCCAAGGTGGAGGTTCCAAGAGAATACAGTTTCCCCTTCGGCTTCCACGGCTTGTGGCAAGACTCTTGATCTCCAGCGAGGTACCGATTCCCTTCTATTCTCTACACTCAATTCTTTCGAGCGTCATGCGTCGTGACTCATTCATTTATCAAGTTTCGAGTCCACCATAGATCATAGAAAGACGGAAAGGAACTCGAAGCGATCGAGAAATCGAAAAATCTCCAAGGATATTGAAAGAAGAATATTCGTGCTAAGATTCCTTAAGAATATTCCTCAAAAGTATATTCGGCCGTTTTAAAAAAAGGCGCCAAAGCGCGGAGAATTAGGTCAGGCAAAGATGAGCGTCTTGGCAGCACGATTGCAATGCTTTCGTATGGATATGGGCTTGGATCATCATCGAACAGCAGGCAAGAGCAAGCACCAGCGATCCCCGGCAGCTCCAATTCCACCACCACCGCCGTCTACGTCGTCCTCTCCACGCTCGAGTACCGCCCAAGAGCCAAGAGGAACCACCACTCGCCCCCCCAGGCCGAGTGCGTCTACACGAACCAGGAGATGGCCTACTCGCACGCCCTGGCGCGAGCTCTAGAGGACGGCTCCGCCTGCCTGGACGACGATGGCGTGGAGCGGCTGTCGAGGATCGCCAGGGACATGGCCGCGCTGTCCATGCCTTTCAGGGAGTCGTGGCGCCGGGCGCACGACTTCCTCGAGGCGGAGAAGGCGCGGCTCGACTGGGACGTGTGGCCGCGCTGCTGGGTCCAGGAGACGCAGCTGAGCGTCCGGCGGGAGTCCGGGGGCCCGGCGCGGCTCGTCGAGGGGCTCGGCTACCTCTTCTCCGACGAAGCGGCTCCTGAAAGCGAGGATGAGGAAGAGCACAGTGAGAGAGATGGTGGCGGCAAGGAAAAGTACCAGGAAGAACGCGAGGAGGATGCCGGAGCCAGCGGTGTTGTTACAAGTGAAAACGTTTGAGATGATGAGTCTACGATCTCATGATCCGCGAAATCCCCGTCACTACTACAGCAAAAGAGAGTTTTAAGAGGAAATCCAAAAACAAAAAAATCGTTTTTTTACCTCGGGTGCTACTGCTGCTCGATCCAACGAAAGTCTAGACCGTCTTGTGAAAAAAATATATGTAGGTACCTTTGAGGAAGCACTCGTAGTTCGTGATATACAATACCCTGTTGCACGCGCTGCTACTACAAAACTGCCAGTAGAAGGTGATCTCCCACCGACAGCGCCTTGATGATGTGAAACAAATCTTCTTCCGTCGCGGCCCTCCACGGATACAGGACGTTCAAGTCGATGGAGTAGTGGGACGTCGGGTCTTCACCGCCTGGAACGTAGGCAACTTTAGCGAAGGCGCGGCTGTCGAACTGGGAGGGCCGGTCCATGGCCAGGAAGAAGAGCGGCATTGCGAGCTCGTGCGCGAGCTTGTTCTGCACGCCCACGGATGCCAGGTCCTTGAAATCGTCCACCAGTCGCTTGGGAATGTAGAAAAAGTCGGACGAGCTGTGGATGAATTTAGTGTCGTCCATTGTCTCCCGGTAGGTCGCTTTGAGCTTGTCGGGCAGGTTGTATATCGTCTTCGTCACTGTTCTCTTGATGCTGCTCTTGAGAAACCAGATGGTGCCCGTCTCGTTGAAACTGTGGACTGTCCAGGACGACTTTACCTGCAATGACACCAAAGCACGTAAATCCAATGCTTCTTTGCGTTTCTTTGCGTCGATATACTACTTACCTCATGCATTGTCCACAACTTTTTGTTGTTTCCTTGCATGTTCCAGTAATTGAAAACAACGTGATCTTTCAGGTATAAAAAACCGGCTGCTTCGGGGTACTTATCAAATATACCAGGGAACGATCTGCGTCACAAGCAATCGATTAGAAAAACTGAAAATAAATGAAAAGTTACTTACGAGTATGCCTGCCATCCGCCTCCAACGTCTATTCCCAGCGTAGAATCAGCCTCCGTTGATATCACCACAACGTGCTTGAAAAGGCGTCCATACAGCATTCGCCAAACCGGTATGTTGGACCTGCGAGCCCAGTCGCACTCCAGTATCAAAACCATATTGGCGGAAGAGCTTCGCCACTTGAGGAGATGGCCCATCTCTTTCTCGACACTGACGGCATCAGTAACGCCAGGATAAACAGGCTTGAGGATCTGAGGTAGAAACTGCCTTGATCCCTTGATCGTGTTCTCCACAGGTTGCAGCTTTGGCGGTTTGTAGCCAACTGACACAAGGTCCTGAAGCCAAGCCACGGTGAGAGCCAAGTCCTGTCCAGACCAGAAACCGTTCTTCGCCATCTCGTAGCTCAAGTCGAGAACTCTTTCGAAGAACGTACTCTTGCTCGAGTGCCACGACTTGAGAAAATCAATAAGCTGCCCCCAGTCATGTAGTAAATCTTCCTCGTCCCCAAACGTCGAGCCTTCAAGCGTGTCGAGCCGATGCACTGAAGGAGGATAGAAAGCGACGATACCACCAACGTCCCAAAGGAGCCTCTGTGCCCAGTATCCCCTGATGACGTCCGAAACGGCAGTGTGCACGGTAACTGGAAGCATCATCGCCCAGAACGCTTGCTCATGAAACAAAGTGTTGAGCGAGTTCACAGGAGCCATAGTTCCACGCGGGAGAGCCACCTCCGGAGCCAGATGATCGAACTCAATGTTGATCGGCTCCCCTGCAAGCCTCCGGGTGTGGTAGAAGATAGAATCAACGTCGGGAAGTCCATTGCCTGTTCCTTGCTGGATGAACTGGTTTCCTCCAGAAACTTCATCGTAGTAAAACTCCGGAGCGATGTCTGGAACCGACGTGAGCGAGAGCCCGCGAGGCCACACGGAACGCTGTCCAAAGTGGATGAAAGGATTCACCAGCGTCCTGTTCTTCGCCTTGTACTGCAACAGCGTCTTCCTCGGGCTCAGCTCGATATCAAACGACTTCCCAAGATGGCCACCAGCTAGAAACGTCGAGTGCGTATCAGCGTCGTAGATCCTCACAGCTCCATGCTGGATGGCGAAGAGGTAGCCGATGCTCTTCCGGACGTAGGAGTTGTAAGGCAGCAGCGAAGTGATCCTATACCGGAAGGTGGTCTGCAAATCGGTGGAGAGAAAGATCGCCCCTGGAACCAGCCAGTCCGCTGGAGTATCAGTGTCGCCTATAGCCAAGACTTGCCACCCCTGGAGCTTCACCATCCCTCTCACCTCGTCCGTGGGAGCCCCGGTCACGCACAGGACGATCCAATTCTCCGCTTTCACGGCAGCAAAGCGAGCCTTGTCCTTGAGGTGATGGACTCTCCCAAAGTTGACGCTGGGATACGTGAGAACCTCCGGCTTGGCCTCGTCACACAGCGTAGAACCACCTCCTTGTCGACTGAGTAGCACCAGGAGCAACACACTGAGAAAGAATGCCGCGACGAGGAAGGCTCTGATGGGATTGTTGGCGAAGAAATCCCCTGGAGAGCTCACGAACTCCGGCCAAGATCTCCCCACAGACGGAGCCTGGGTATCAGGCGCCTCTGGATTCATCCCGCTGATCTCGTCGTCGGATCTCGTCTCCACGACCTTGTACGCTACCCCATTCCCGAATCCATCGCTCTTGTCGCGATCGCGGCGCTGGACGTGCATCGGCGCCGGCTTCGCTGTGGTAGATCTATCCTCCTTGTCATCCAGCTCCACCTGCATTGCTCCAATCGCTGCCGGTTTGTCGCGCTCTCGTCGCTGGACCTCCATCCCGGCTAGATTCTAGTCCATTCCAGGAATTTCCCGCTGGCTCTTCGGTCTAGCCGGGCTAGAAACTTCCAAGCATCGAGCGCTTCGATCTGGAAGAAATTTCTTGCTGGCGCTCCAATCTGGCCTGAGATTTGCTCGATCTAGTCGAGCTGGCAGCTGGATTCCACGTACCTAGCGGAGCGAGCGCTTCGTTCCCCTGAAGAACCCTAGCCCTCGCTCACTCCTCGACTAGCGATTTAATCTGGGCCGTCGATCTTCCGCTATCTATTCCACGTACGGTTGTTGGGCCGTTTGGTGGAAGCGAAAGTGATGGGTCATCACCTTGATGCGGGACGAGCGTTTTAAACTCCGCGCAATGGCGGGGCGCCACGTAGTCGCCGTACAACCACGCGCTGGATTCGTACGGTCTTCTAGGGTTCTTCCGCTCTTTACGCCTGTTAAAGCTGAATTGGAGCGTTTCGTGAATGGCGCTGGATTGGAGCTGAAGCAAAGCGCCAGCACCTGGCGGGAATTGGTAAGGCTGAGTGGCGCGTCTCTCGATTTCCCTGCGCGTTTGCGTATTTATTTAGCTCGATTCTCCTCGCCAGTGCTGTTGCATAGGGTTTGTTTCCTTCATTGTCTTCTCTCAAGCTCTTGTGCGATTGTTTTGATCTAGATCGAGCGCTCTAGCATAGTAAATCTGCCACATTTTTGCATATATTTGGTCTCTAGCTGATTCTCTTGCAGTAAGCGTTTTTTTTTTGTTTTTTCGTTTTTTCGTTTTTTTTTCACTTGTTTTGATTGCGTGTTCTTGTTTCTCATGTTCTCATCTTAAGATATTTCTCCCTTCGCTACGATCAAAGTTGCTAACTTTTTTGTTTGTGTTATAAGTTTAGGTGGCTTCACTACAGCCATGACCACGCCGAAGGCCCGACTTAATCAGCTCTATAGTGCCTCCGATGGGCAACCGCGGTATTTTACGTTATCTGGGAGGCCTCCTGGTTGTCCAGCGCCGAAGCTACAGTCTGGATCCACATTCTACTGCAAAGTGGAGCTTCCAAATGGAGCAGTCGTCGTCTCGGAGCCTTGTAGGCGAAAGAAAGATGCGGAGCAGGACGCAGCACGAAAGGCCTTGCATGAGGTAACATTCTTTTGTTTTCTCGTTTCTCTTTGTATCTTTGTTTCATTTTTCTAAAGACTTGGCTTTCGTTTTTGTAGATTGGTACGCCTTTCGAAAGCGTGGCTGCTGCTTTCAGCACCATGAAGTCGTCGGAGGAAGTCTGGATCGAACTGAAGCTTCGGATTGAAACGGCTTTCTCCAACGAGGTGAGTCCTTCCTCCTGTTTCAAACGACGCTACGCGTTTTAGAGGCATCCGGGTTTATGCTGTTGTAGTGTTAGTGCAGTGTGTGTTGAACTACAAGCCTTTGATGGAGCACTTTAGAGCAGCCATTGTCCGTAGGGGCAAGAGTCATGCACCCGTGCCAGCCACTGTTCTCGCATCCCTGGATACGAAAATCATCAGTATGTGCAAGGCTCTCGATAACATCTCGGATGGCAATCCAGCCCGCGCACTAGAGCTTGTTTATAAGGCAGCTAAGGGGTCGTCAGTCTTGGCCTGTGATGCTAACATGTGGATCAGCAGAGTGGAGCCATTTCCAGCACACGTTAAGAGTGGACTGCTGGAACAGACAACAGAAGCTTCAGTTGCCTCCGAGAAAATTCACTTTGATGCGGTCTACATACCATTTGCTCTCGACAGGACGGTTTCTGCTATACGGATAAATATCGATCCGAGTGACTACTACATGGATGTTCTAGCACGTCAGCTCGGCATCGACGATGGTGCTCGCGTACTAATCTCGAGGTATAGAAGTTTTCTTACGTGTTTCCTTATTCGGTCTGACTTTGTGTTTTTCAGATCTATTACCAAGGCTCCCTCTGGGACTCGTTTGTTTTGGCGCCTTGCTGAAAGAGATGATAAGAGTTCAGGAGTAAATATGCGGGCAAGTACGCTTACTAGCCATTCTGTGTATGGTAATGCTATTCTCGCTGCTGTCGGCTCTACCTGGAAGTCCGAAGGTCGCCTTTGCTACGACGACGTGTCGTTGGGGTGCTACTACAGGTACATTCTGAAAGTCAAACTTATTTAGTGAACTAACACTTTCACCAGGCTAGCTCTTGGAAAATCTCCATCTGGAAGCTACAAGCTTTCGAGAGGGGCTCTTTTGACGGCTGAACTTCCACCGACTTTCACATCAAAATCGAGGTGGAGAGGCTCGACGCCACGGTCTCTACTAAACGAGTTCTGCCACCAGTCTCACCTTCTGGCTCCGACGTTCTGCTCTTACCCCGTCAAAGGAGACTCAAACGACTCATGCGCCGGATATGAAGATCACGGTTGCACAGCTGATACTTCGGACCAGACAGATCAAGCCGAGAACAATGGCAACGTAAACGCTGCGCAAGGACCGTTTCTGTGCAAGCTGAGAATGCTCGTGTGTGGTGCACCGCGGGAATTCGAGTCCGAGAGGTCATACAGGAACCGCAACGACGCAATACAGAGCGCCTGTTTGCAAGCATTGCTCTACTTCGACACTTCACTCGCTCATCTCATGAGTAGCTTGAACCAAAGCTCCGGTGAGGATGAAACAAGCAAGCAGGCTCTCTTTGAGGTTACTGAAGGAGAAGAGAAGACTTGCGACAGGCCACCTATCGGCTCCATGGTTCATGTGGAGTACAGTGCCAGATTATGTGTCGGGGCTGTTGCTATAAATGTAGAGAAGCAAAGTGACTTTGAGTTCGAACTGGGCAGTGGGGCTGTGCTTGGCCTTCTCGACACATGTGTTACTGGCATGTGTGTTGGTCAGAGTGCTCGCTTCTCTACGCCTTTGCCGTCCGTCGATTTGCTGCTGGCTACTGAGAAGGTCGACGCAGCTCTTTTCCACGATGTTCTTCCAGGTACTTTGACAATTTTGGCTCCCTGAATTTTTTAGTGATACGAATGTTTTTTACTTTTTTATTTTTGTTTCTTTTTCAGGGAGCTTGTCTCTGGAGTACACCGTTTCGTTGCTAAAATATGTGGAGGCTGCTGAAGCCAGGATGGAGTCCGCCGTGTTTTCACCGCCGCTTTCGAGACAGCGCATCGATTTTGCGCTTGAGCTTTTCCAACGGTCGCAAGCTTTATCCTTGGTAAGCCATCTCTATTTTGCTAATGATGAATGCTTAGTGTGGTTTGTTTAGATCGACTTCGGGTGTGGATCAGGGAGCTTTTTGGAAGCTATAGTTGAACAGCCAAACAGCCTGCAGCATATAGTCGGTGTGGATATCTCCTTGAGAAGCCTCACAAGAGCATCGAAGGTACCAAACGTATTACGTTTTGGGTTTTCCAATCTAACTTTGGTGCTTTTGTAGTCACTACAAGGAAAGCTAGCGAAACTCCGTGGTGCCCTGGAGAGCGTGACGTTGTATGAAGGCTCGATTGTGGAGCCAGATCACCGGCTCCATCACTTTGACGTTGCAACTTGCCTAGAGGTAATGCAAGTGTTTCATTATACACAGTTTTTCTTTCTGCTGGTTATTTTCTAGGTGGTCGAGCATATGGATCCGGAACCGTTATCAAGGTTCGGGAAGAGCATCCTTGGGATAATGCAACCGAAGGTACTGCTGGTGTCGACTCCAAACATCGAGTACAATCCAATCCTCCACGGCATAGTAACTAGAAAGGAGAAGAGCGAAGGCTTAGAGGAAACTCTAGACGCAAAGAAGGCAGAGGGTGACGAAACTGTCCGGCTTAGAAACGACGACCACAGGTTTGAGTGGACAAGGGCGGAGTTTAGCGACTGGGCCTCGGACTTAGCTTGTACATACGGCTACTCGGTAGAGTTCTCCGGTGTCGGTGGGACGCCCGGCCAAGAACCAGGTTTCGCTTCGCAGATGGCAATCTTTACTAGGATGGGAACGGGAATGGGAGTCCGTGATTCGGAGCAGCCGAAAACGGGCGAGTACTCCACTCTTTGGAGATGGTCATCGAAGGTGTGAGTGTTTTTTTTTTTTTTGGGAGCCTGGAGCAGGGCCAGGGGATAAGAATTTGGTGGTTTTTTTCCCAGCGGTCAATTCTGATAGCTTCAGCTCGGCTGGACCAGTGTCCGATTGAAATCCACGAATTTGATACGGAGGTATGGATGGAAGTGTTTTTTTTCTTTTCTTCCTTTTGTAACGTGGAGAAAAGCGGCAGGGTTTTCGCGTCAGCGTCGGCGATAAGCGAGGAAACAGGTGGTGTCTGACTATGGATTGACAGGGAGAGAGCATTGGGGGCGTTTGGTGGAGGAATGGGACTGCGAGGGAGAAGGGAAAAGAGAGGTGGTGTTTACGTAAGACTTTGCTCGATCATTGGCGGCAGCGCTGCACGATGCTCGGTAATTATCTCATCTGGGGGGCGTTTTTTCAAGCAAATAATCTTGGGTCGCTTTCTCGTGCGAAGGCAGCCGTATGCGAAGGGATTCCCGGCCGTGAAAAAGAAAAGTTTAATTGAAAAAACAAAAGGAAAAAACATGAAGGAAAAAAAGAAAACCGATTCTATGATTCGCAAGACCAGGAAAGAATGAATGTATACAACGATCTGGGCATGGTACGGAACGTACACTTGCCCCCGTCCGTACGGAGAAGAGAACACTCTCAGTACGGGAGCAATGGGGCGAGCGTACGGGAGAATCGTGAGCATAAAATTCAAGGCCGTGTGCCACTGGATCTGACACGCTCGCTCATCCAACATGTTCAAAAATTTCTTCCAGAAAATGATTCCTTCGCGAGGGATGGGTGGTGCTGGGCCGATCAGAGCACCCATTCTTTCTCTCTCTCTCTCTCTCTCTCTCTTTCTCTTTCACTCCGTGCTGCAAGTGAAAGCTGTGAGGATCCAAGCTGCATTGACAAAAGAGCCCCCCTTTCCACGCCAAAAAAGAGATATAATCTCTAGGCATTCACCGTTGCGAGATCCCCGATCGGACGGCTGGCGGGCCAACTTCGAATGTGGGCCGTCCGTTCTGGTGCCCGGATCCAACGGGCGCGGTATCGCTATCCCGCCAGTCGGGTGCGTCATCTTTCTTGACTATGTTGTGTTTTGTGCTGGATTGCGATTGCGTTTTCGTGCCACTGCCTGCCACCTTTTCTCTCTTCTCTGTGTCTAATCCGGCTTAGTGGCTGCCTATTAGCGCGCCCGGATCCATTTTTTCTTCCTGACACAAAAAGGAAGAAAAGAAGGAAAAAAAAAAAAAACTTTGATGCGATAGATTTCGCTGTCGGCGACGTTGATGCCCCCGCTTGCATGTTCATCTCTTGGAAAGTTCACGAGCAACTTTTAAAGTCGAGGGCGCTGGCCAGGGAGCTACTAGAACTGTGCTTAACCAAGCAAACGAGAATCCATTTTAGTCCAACATCTCTTACGCACCTCTTGACGAAGAGGAATTCTCGTGAGTTTAGTCGCCTGGTCTTTCTCTTCTAGTCTCTCCCACTGTCAGGATCGTTCAGCTTAGAAACTCCACGCTTGTGTCTCCCATTTCAAATGCATTCGCTGCGCCACTATTGACTCTTGCAAATCCGTGCAGGCATACTCTCCTCCTCCTCCGGTAATCCTGCTGAAGCAATAAGCAACGAGTAAGCAAAGTTCACACCAAGTCCTTCACAGTCACTTTCGCAAAGGCTTACTTAAATTCCACGCTCTCGCGGACTCGGAGTCATGTAAGTATGAGCGCGGACTCGCAGTTGTGCTCTCTGTCCCGGCAGAGAATTCTCCTCCTCTTTATAACATACTCGTGGTACTGATATCAAAGGATGGCCGCCTCCATGGGGATTGTTTTTGCAGACAAGGACGAGGATGGGGCGGGCTCCATGTTGCGAAAAAGTGGGACTCAACAGGGGCCCCTGGACGAGAGAGGAGGATGCTCTCCTGATCAAGTATATTACCGCACACGGCGAAGGATCCTGGCGTACATTGCCGAAACAAGCAGGTATTAAGCCAGTCAATTTTGATGAATTCACTTACATACCTTACGCTCATGTTTTTTTTTGTTGCACAGGACTTAGACGGTGTGGTAAAAGTTGCAGGCTGAGGTGGATCAATTACCTCCGGCCTGATCTCAAACGAGGAAACATCACCGAGGAGGAGGACGAGCTCATCATTAAGTTGCATTCGCTGCTTGGTAACAGGTAAAAATGGAGAGCTGCTTGAGTTTCTGCCGGCTTGCACTGGACTGAATTATCATGTCTTCTCCTTGATCTCTCTCATTCTGAAACAAATTCGAGTTAGTCTCTCCGAAAAATGCATCAATTTTGTACCACATGCTAAGATGCTTTGTCCAAAAGTCTGAATTTCCAAATCCTAATCCATGGTTTCATATTATCTGCAGATGGTCACTGATCGCGGGCCGGTTAGCAGGACGCACGGACAACGAAATAAAGAATTACTGGAACACTCACCTCAAGAAGAAGCTCCGTAGCATGGGGATCGATCCTCACACTCACAGGCCTCTGGAAGAAGTGGAACAGGAGGCCATGCAAGGAAGAGGCTCTTGTTCCTGTCAGCGGAGCAAGAGCACCAATGCAGGATCCTCGTCTTCGTCCAGTGACCACCATCATCGGCCACCACGCGGAAGGCCCAGCCAAAGAGGTAAAGTCTCGTTCCACAAGCTGCTCACAGATGACCACGAACACGGCTCTCTCGATGCTGACGTTGGAACATCATCCGCAAGAGGACCCCCTGCATCCCCGGCGAGTATGTTTTCTCATAATAGTTCCTCTACAGTCCAGGACCACACCGATAACCAGCACGGTGTGGCGGCTTCCGTCGCTAGAACTGCCGGTCCAGGTGGTTTCAACTTCGCAAACTACTGGGACCAGACGCGGGGCTTGCAGAGTTCCTTCAACTCAGCAACAATGAGCTCGTCTTGCACGGACTCTGTTGTCATCAGCAGCAGCTATTTCCCACGTCCCAACAGCGAGTTCCTCAGCATTCCTTTTGAGTATAACCCGGTGAATGTGGACTGGGAAGGCAACGGAGTAAAGACCGAGCAGGAAGTTCTGTTCTCGGAGTCCGACAACGTTCATAGAAACCAGGAAGGTTTTAGTTATGCCTTTGTCAATCCTCCCTCCAATGTTGATCACGGCATATGGGACGTGGACGTTGTTCGTCAAATGGAGGACATGGATCCAGCCATGCTCGTTGGAGACCATCATGCACAGGCAAGTGCCCCTCAAGAATACTGGGAGCACCATCCATATAATCCAATCCCAAAGACCGACATGAGTCTCTGGCCTGGCAAAGAGAGTAACACACGGTGAGTGTCCTAAATTCAATAGGAAAGGAGGATACCTGTCTCATTCATTTCGATCGTGATTCTGTAGCAAATCACGCAAGTGCCAATAAGCATAACACGATCATATACTTGATAAAATATAGGCGGTACCAGCAAACGCAAGAAAAGTCACTACACCCTGTAACGCTAAAGTCGCCATTAGCAAAAGCAGACCTTTCAAATTCTACAAAAAATCTTGCATTCTTCTTCGCAGAAGCACAAAAGCTTGTTATCGAGCCATGCAATGTATTTACGTGCACTGGCTGTAAAGCTAGCATCGCCACCTGTGCAGTGTGAACCGCCCATTAAGAGATGACAGGACAAAGAAAGAAGCACACACCTTATCTACAATTATAGAGCAACGATGAGAGCCTCAAAAATCTTTTCCTGAGTCAGATTTGATCCACGTTGTCACAGGTTCCTCGACATCCTTTTGAGCTGTTCCATTTCCATTCTCGTGCAGCAAAGGATCCTGCTCCTGCTTCATCACCTGTAGAGACAATATCAAGCCTCTGAACAAACCAGCTTCTGCATATACCTGAGGAAGAGTTGTCGCAGCTTCGTTTTGCTTTAGCTGGTTTTCTAAAACGCTAACGTAGGAGTAGACACCCATTCCCACCACCGCCACCGCAATACCAAAAATGTTTTTCCAGCTGAAAGGATTTTGCAGCAGAATGTACCCGAAGGCCAAAACGAGACACGTCTTAAGGTGGCCTAAGACTTGGTAAGTCACCGGCGACGTCTTCCCTATAACAAGGAATGTGCTGAAGTTCACAGAAACGGAAATCAAGCAAGAAAGGATGATGAATAGCTGCAGAGGCAAAGAAAAAAAAAGGCGTTTCATAGGCGGATAAAAAGCATGTGCTTACCAGAACTTTGTAGGTGTAGTAGAAAGCGAACACATTTTCCCCAGTAAGAAGGCCATCCAAGAAAGGACCAGTAAGTATCAACGTTGTAGCTTGGTAAGGGCAAGATTGGTATAGTAGCTGCGTGGACGAAACTTTGAACTTTTTCTGAATAGTGTTGGTCATCTGACGCAAACAAGAACGTTAAGGAGATCCCCTGGAAAACGCACAAACTCAGGTGAATCAAAAGGATACGATCTGCGCAACACAAGTCGTGACAATCGCGAAGACGGATAAAACAGAACCAAGAGCGTTAAGCTGGAGATCTGTTATGGTGGCAATTCCCACACCAACGAGAAGTAGCAGCAAGGCAAGCTGAATGCTTTTACTGCAACAAGTAAACCATCATAAGCCACCGACGAGACAAAGGCAAGCACAGTTACCTGAAAACTTTCCGTAAGAACACCGTCTCCAAAAGCACTGTGCAAGGAATGATCGCGAGTTTGGTCATCTGCACAACAAAAGAGCTAAAAAACGCGTTCCTTGGACTTCACGAATAAGGTGGCACAAAGGAAATTATTCTTGCCTGGTAGAATCCAACCGAGTTGAAGCCAAGCGTGAGATTGAGGAGGCCAATCGAGATGCCGTTTAGAACGCCGAATCCCATCACAGTTCTCGCATCGAACGGCTTGTGCTCGAAGAGCTTGAGCCAGCGAGCGACATGGAGGGAGCAGTACGTGACGAGCAAATGCCAGCCAGTTAGCGTGGTCGCTGTGATACCACCCAGATTGTACGAGAAAGATTAGAACACACAGAGGAAAGAGAAATCCAAGAACAAAAGCAATGCAGTTACCAAAGTTAAATCCCAGCGTAGTGATGAGCGCCTTGTTGCAAATTACAATGGCCACGGATGATATCACCGAGAGGCCGAGCGCTCCCACCGTGCCGATCTGCGGACCCTGTTTGTCTCTCATCTCTTCCTCCTTCTCGCTCATTGGCGCCTGCAATGGAAAATCGCGAGGTTATCAACCCGCATTCCAAGCTAGGGCCGAAATTCCACTATTGCGCGACCTAAGGAGAGATCCAGGCGCGGGAGCTCCTCTCAATCTAACCTAGAGCGAGGCATCAATCAAGAAGCGCGTGGCAGAGATATTTCGATCGAATCCGCGAGCGAGAGAGAGAGAGAGATTGCGAGAAGAGGCGGAGAGGAGGAGAGATTTCTTACAAGATCTCGAGCTCCAGCTGGGGATTTGGAGGAAGCGCCCGTGGCAGCGGCAATGGGGACAAGCCCGAGCGCCTTGGATCCGCCCCTGTGACCAGTAGCTGGCTTTTCCGCCTTCCCTACAAGAGAGAACGCTGATCACGGCAGAGATAGAGACAAGCCTACACGTTAAATGCCGCATCGCCTAGGGTATATTCCTTCCCGGAATATACGCCGGACTTACTGTTACAGACGTCGACGTAACGCCAATGCTAGTGAATATTCCCCCCCGGGGGGCTTTAAACTTGGGGCTTCCGGCTAGGGTTTACATAGGGTTTTAGGGATCTAGGGTTTCTTGGGCGCCGCCTTCTTCCAGCGCCTTCTCTCTGCTGTGATGCCATTGATTTTACATGTTAGACTATGGAGATGGATTCAATCCATCGCTGAGAACAACGCACTCGTTGCCTGAGCAGAGATTTTCTCTTTAGTTTTCCCATTGTTTATTCGTTTGGAGGAGATGATGATTCGATTTTGGTCCGTGTTTCTGAAATTGCAGTGACGAAACACAGTCTTTTTCGTTGTGGCTGATCCTCCGTTGTGTTCGTTCTGGAATTATTTGTGGACCCAAGTGTGGATTGCGTGGTTGAACTGGGTGGATTTCGTGTGGAGGCTGTCGTGGATCCATTTCGTGAACTCTTTGGCCGCGTGTTCGTCCGGGAGGTTGAGCAGCATTATGTCGTGCATGTAGCGGACGTCTGCGGGGCTGGAGACTTCGCTCAGTCCGCTAGAAATCATCTGTGCAAGAGTAAAACTTTCACAAACTATGGTGGAAAAGTCTAAACAAAAGCAGCCACCATACCAGAGACATTAGATTAAGATACTTTGTAGCCTCTGCCCGAACTTGGTTGAAGGCTTGAGCACAGAGTATCTCAAACGACCGGAAACGAGGGTCATGTGTGCCACCCATCACGAACGCCATGTCGGGCGTCAGCTGAGACCACATAGAAAAATCCAGCTTTTAAACACGAAAGATAAAACAAAGCTGGATGTCTCATACCACGAAGCGTGCACGCTCCCTCTTGATGCCAAACTTCGACTTAAAATGTCCCAAGATGTGCCCGAAATCGATATCTACAAGCACGAAACACCCGTGAAACTAAAAAACGAGAAAACAAAGATTGGATGCAAGCAAAAGAGATGAGAACGTACGAAAAAACTGGCCGTTTCTCTTGAGCATGATATTATCGTTATGCCGATCGCCTATCCCAAGCAAGCATGTTGCAACGCAATATCCAGCGCAAGATCTCGTGAAGTTATCCAGTGCTCCTTTATAGTTTTCTCCTGCAGGAAAAGCCATTTCGCATGAACAGCCCAGCGATAGACTTGAGAGCTCACCAGTCTGCGTTTCATGCATGAGCCAGTTGATAAGAGTATCCTCTTTGAAGACAGCCACTCCTCCGCCAGAAGCCTTCGCAATCGTAGTTACAATCGAGAGAAAATAAAAACTTCGAAGACATGTAAAAACAACAATCAAACTAATGTCTACCTTGCAGATGTTGGATAAAGTCTCCGAGTTCCAGACGACTTGTAGCATTCCACTACTATCGCCGGTAGCGACGCAACTGTAGATTGTCATTTTCATATCCAGGTTGTGCCTAAGCCATGTCTGAGAAAAAAAGCACTCGAAAAAAAAACATGAGGTATCGAGAGACTCTCACCTTGTTCATGAGGCTAAACATTTCCAGCGTAAGTATGTCTTGACGAAGGTCGTCGCCAGTCTTGAAAATAATGTAAGTGTGCTCTTCCACACTACGGTCCGTATTCTTGAATACCAGCCAGAGAGGAAGCTTTTTCGAATCCATGTACTTGCATTTCGTCAGTTCCAAGCCATTGACCTCACACCTGAAAAGAATCCAATGCGTGTTAGCTACGTGATCGGCACGTCTCCCATGTGAGGAGACTAAACTAAGGGAGAACAAAAACAAAATTAAGCAGTTACCTGGGATCTACCGGCAACGCGACGCTTTCAAAAGATTCGAGCTCCGAAAGCAAAGAGATAAGTTGCTTCTGACGCTCGGCCTTCTGTTTGACTTGCCTTATACCACGAGCAATGTTGGCTAATGAGAGTACCAGCTTCTCTTGCTTCGAGAGAGCTGTCATAACGTGTGACTTACAAGTCTTTCGGAACTCATTCATTGCAAACTGAAGCTTCACTGCGAAGAAGGCAACCTCCAAGCCGGCCTAAAAGCAGTTCGACATGCTATTGATTAAATATTCACAATATCCACAAACAAAACGACGACAAAATGCCAAACCTTGATGTGCCAGTACAAATAGTAACCGAGCGATTGGTCCACCGAAGCTTTGTTGACGAGGAATTGCAAAAGAGCGGACTCTATCCGTGGCTCGTACTGTAATGCCTGTTACACAAAACTTCAGCTAAGAATGACGCTTGGTTTAAGTGTACCTGAACTAGCTGCACTAAGAAAGAGCAGATCTCCTCATTCGAAAGGTTTTCCAGTACAGAGACTGCGTAGTTACGAACAGCAGGATCTCCAAATTGCGGACCAAGTAGCTGTATGTGTGCAATCAGAAAAATTCAATGCAAGGCGATTTTCTGGAAAACACCTGTAAAGCTGTGTATGGATCCAGTGGTTCCCATTTTGCCAGCAACCTGGAAAGATATGGTATTGAGCAACGTGCGAAATAACTTTTCAGCTTGCCTTCGTGCTTCCATAGCGTAAATATACTTTTGCCATGGGACCGATTGCAGAAACCTTGACAAGGCTCTGGGATTGTTCTTGATAGAATAACGGTACCTCCAAAGGATCGACTTTTGTGGTTCCGACGGTACAGAAAAAACATCTGGTATGAGAGAAAAGATAATAAGGGTGAAGCCAAACACAAAACATACCATAACTATCAACGCAAAGAGCAATGTGCTTCTTCTCCTCGGTGCTTGGGAATAAGTCACAATCGTCTGAAAAGTTTGTCAAAGGACGCCTATCAACAACCCAAAACGTGGGAGAAATGTTTTCAGATACGACACAAAGAGCTCCGGATCTTCGAGCGTACTGGTAAACATTGCTTGTCTTTCGTCCTCGTCTTCCCTCATCTTTAGGCTGAAAGGATAGAAGCATTCGTCAAGTGAAACGACCAGAATAGCAATATAGTCTTCCGACATATTTTCTGGCACAGTTCCTGTAAAGCAGCAGGTAGAGAGATCAGGATTCGTGGACAAAACAACATATCTTACCACACGTGTAATACGGTGGATCTTTCCACAACCTGAGATGTTTCACCTTTGAATCAACAGTTCCATAATCATCAATAAAACGATAATTGGCCCAGCCGACTAGCTTCGAGATCAGTTGACAGTCCCTCTGATGCCCGGAGTAGACAGCAAAGTTGAGAGAAGCTACCTGATGAAAGACAATAATTATCACGTTAGTAAATGGTGAAATGAGCTGCACCTCTGGAAGATCGAAAAGAAGTATTGGAAATGTCAGAATCTCGTTCCACTGAGGATTAATGCTCTGTGCGACGAACGTCGTCGACAGCTCCAAGTTTGTCGCTAGACGCTGGCTACCATGGTACCTTTTCGCGAGTTAAAGTCACAGAATGTGTAAGGACCAACAAAAAGGATACAAGCTTCCAATCACATTCATGTATAGCATTTCGTCACTTTCTTCGAAAACGCCATCCTTGAACCAGCATTCTTTAACGTGGACATGCAGATACGTTCTGCGAAGAAGCGGTGAGCTGAACTGCTTAGACAACAGCCAAGGCGTAAAATGAAAACGAGCTTACAACCGCAATAAGAACTTACGATTTGACTGCCTAAATTTTAAGTGCGTTGTCCACGTTTTTCTCATAGGACTGAATTTGTACCTTTGCATAAAACTCTGGCTTTTGATGTGAAATCTGTAAAAGCTTGAAAATGAGAGGCTGCATCATGATGAGCAGAAGTCTCGGAATGTCTACCTCTTCGAATTTCAGCTTTGCCTCCGCTTTCTGTGTTACGGGTGATACTGGTGCTGGAGGCTCTCCTGACACAGCTGGGTCCAGCACTAGATGAACAACTAAAGGCTTCTTCTCGTCAATGCAGCTCTGGACGAAGCTGTTAATCAAGTAGCTTGTAAGAATGGAAAGCAACAAAAATGGAAAGCGTGGCAACAAACTTACGTACTATCGCACATTCGAGATTTACACGCCTCGCTTGCATCCAGATAAATCCCGAGACTACCCTGAAAACCCGCATGAACACCACGCAAAAGTTGTGGGGCTATACCAGTCTCAACGTGTACTCGAACGCCAGATGCCCCTCCTCCGCCTCGTCACAGTTCATAAAGAGACGATCTCTTACGTCGCGCACCAAGTCAGATCCTGGAGATTAAAACGCAGCTCCACAGCGGACATGAGAGAATTAAAACCTTTCATACCTTGGACGAACATGACAACGCCGGTGTCTCCGCTGGGAAAGTAGCACTGGCACTGAATCCTCTCTTTGTCGTACTTATTCAATGCCGTGCTGCTGATGCCATGTTCCTCACTGCTTGCCAAGTTCAAGTTGTCAGCCTTTCCTCAACAGTACGTATGCAAAATTGTTTACCAGTTGAGCTTAGAAATGAAAGAAGTCATGCACGGAAGAAAAAATTTCTCCACCTTGTTGCAGCGGCAGGCCTTTCATCCAGCTCCGGAAGAGAGCTTTCTCCTACCTATAGAACAAACAAAGGATCAAACTTAAGCAACAAACGAAGGATAAAACTCAAGCCACGCAAAACAAAGAGCTGGAAGAGAGCATTCTCCTACCTATAGAACAAGACCATGAAAGCAAACTGGATCAAACTTAAACAAAGAAAAGCAAAAAGTTCGTGCTACCAACCGATATTTTGGCACCATACTTGGCGCAGGATTCCTGGATGCGCTGCAACCACGCTTGCGACTGGTGAGCGCTGTCCGCGCGCAGAAAATACCTCTGCCGCTGCCCTTGCTCGTCCAGCGCGACGATCTCGAAGCCCAGGCCAGCAGACGGCCCCAAATGCTCCATCTCCCGGACATTTATGACGCCCTCCGCATCGCGAAACGTGGAATCCTCACCTGGCAGGCACAGCAGATCCCCAGAGGCCGCCATCAGGACAAAGAACCGCCGCTCCCAGTCCGCATTCCCGAGCTTGAGCTCCAGGGCGCCAGAGAACGCCGCCCCCTCCAACGCCATACCTTAACCTAAGCCCTAATTTCCAGAATATCCCTAATTCAAACCACCCGCCCCCGCGCTATTTTTCAAATTTCTTGATGCCCCCGGATATTCTGGAATTTAGGGCAAGAGGAATTGGTTGGAACGTTTACATCGGCGTTCTGTTAGAAGTAAAGAGGGCGCTCTGGCCGTGTGTGCTGATATTTAGTTACAAGGAAGTGGCATGGTTGCCATGTCCATGTCGGCCATAGCCCTTTACACCCTATCACACCGGGATCTCCGGATCTAGGGAGATTCAACCGCTCTATTCAATGATTCGCTAGCTCGCACCACTTTCACACCTTGGAGGCTTATAAACTTTCATCCCATATGGTTGGCCTAGGGCATCTTGTCCATGCTTGTTTTCTTGCTGGTTGTTTGTCCGGGAGAATCTATTGACCGGATGACTTGCAAGGGGAGGAATCATAGTTTTCATCTCCCCAGAGATTCCCCTAGCTCTGGAGGGGTCTCGATAGATTATACCAATCACTGACCACCACCACCACCACCACCACCACCCAAATACAAACACAAAGATTGTCCCTCCAAGGCTCTCTTCTTTTTTGCTTTTTTGCCATTGCATTTGCCCCGCCTTGGCATCTGTGTATGTAGCCACGGCGCGCCAATCATTTGGCAATGCCGTCCCAGTCGTGGGCAGCGAAATCTTTTTGTTTCGTCCTCCCAGGCCGGGCTCCCCGCGCGGGATTGATGGCGGGCTTTCGATTTGTAATGCGCCAGGATTGTCTTAGGGCGCCACCCTTTCGGGGAACACTCGCAATGGATTGATCTGCCACTGCGCCACCTTGTCGATTCATCCCCTCCCCAGGAGCCAACAAACACAAAATTCCCTTTCCTTGATCACAGTGTCGTCCATGAATGCCATGGATGCCATACCCATCCATCCCATCCATACCCATCGCCCATTCATCCATGGCGTGCAATGCCATGCCATCCCATCCCCATCCCCATCCCATCCCATCCATCCCAAGAACGTTCTTTCGGTTGCGCCAGTTGGATAGACATGCCATGAATACAAAAGACGTATGCTTCCCACGTGGAGGCGCCGGTCAAGAGATCTAGACAGGAATACCACCACGATTTTTTACGAGTTTTTATACCACTACTACTACGGGCCAGGCCCAGAGAAAGATGGTGGGCGGTAAATTGGAAACTTTACCCTCTTCCAATAACCACGTCTCAAATGGCTATTGCGACCCCGCCCCTGTGCACTGACGAGCTAAAAAGCCTACCTCCAACACTAAATTCTTGCCACTACGTACGCCTTGCGCCTGGCGTATATTTACCCCCGGTACCGAGAATGTAGGGCGTTTGAGCTTCCGAGACCGGCCGTATCTCTACGCAGCGGTGGCGTCACTGCATTGTACTTGGGGCCGTATGGTGTGGATGACGCATGGGATGGGACATGGCCTACGTCAGGGCTCCTTGGGGAAGAACCACGTAGGGTGGTTTTTGGTCGTCGGGAAAGAAAGGTCTAATCTTCTTTCTATTCTTCGCCAGTCTTCGCAGCGTCCAAGGCCCACGACCCTACGACGACTAAGGCTACTAGTACTGCTACCATTGATATACGCTACGAATACGGGACGTACGTGTCGCCGTTTTATGAGTAATTTGTCGGGTTTTTCCCAACTCACGTGCCCGGCAATCATGAGGGGCGTGACGTCAGCGCCAGCTTAGCGTCATAATTTCGTTCGTTAAGCTCGATGCCATGCGATGCGAGCGCGATGCGGATGCGGGTTTTTTCGCGCCAAGTTACGTCAACGCTGACGGAATATGTCCCGAGTACAAAAGTATTTTCTTTTTTGCTTTGTTTGGGTTCGAATCCCTGGAATTTTTCACGAGATGGGAACTAAAAGAGCTATACATCTACCGTTAGTTGGCGGGTAGTCATCGCCGAGAGTATGGAGAGGTTTTTTGTTTGAGTGAAGGACTGACAAAGGCCATAGAGAAATACTCTGCGTGGTCCATCCAAAGAATTGGACAGAGAGAGATTCGCGCACGATGGGAGGGATATTCGGTGGGGTTTTGATACCATTTAATCCATGTGGCGTGCCTTGAATGGCCTTTGCAATGAGCCAGGAGGCAAATCATAAACTATGCGCAATGGCAAATGCCATATGGTATGGCAATCTTCGTAAGAATATAAAGAAACAAAGTGTGAAATTTGTTGAGAGTGGGATTCGAACCCACGCCCTTGCGGACCAGAACCTTAATCTAGCGCCTTAGACCAACTCAGCCATCTCAACTTTACACTAGCTTAAAAAGGTAGCATCCTTTATCAATCGCCCTTTTCGAAAAGGTGGCAAACTAAAGATTAGGTGGTTAACATAACAGGAAACAGTTACATTAAAAGGAAGAAGAACAAAGTTTGTGTTTCTTTGACCCCTGTTTTACCGACAAAAACTGCTCTTTCAGTTTCTCCGGTGCCCCGAATATCCGTCTCTTAGATTTCCCTCCAGATCGACATCAAAACCGTGAAGAAGCAAAAGATTCCACGCCAAAAGGTGGAACACCCCTCCTTTGGATCCACGGCGACGAGCTTCACATTGCCGGAGAGACCTTGATCGCCATGAGCAGCACGTCTTTGCCATTGTCAATGCAGCTGTCACTGCCATTGTCCTCCTCGTCCTCGTCCTCGTCCAAACACCCCAGCTCGAACACCTTGGAACCCCCGTCGATAGAATTCGCAGCTCCAATCTTCCCGGAGCTGGAAGGAGTGGAGGAATTGCTACTCCCAGTGAGCTCCTGCGCCCTAAACGCCTGGAGCTCCCAATCCGTGCGTCCCACTGCAAAGAGCATGAGCACCAGGCAAGAGCCCTGCGCCGCCAGGAGCCCAAACCATAACCCGACAAACCCCACATCCAGCGCAAACCCTAGAAGCATCGCCACCGGCATGCCCACAAAGTAGAAGGAACCAAGATTGATGTTGGCCCCCAGTGTCGGCCGCGCGCTCCCGCGAAGCACGCCGCAACCTGTGGTCTGGGGACAGTTCCCAATCTCGCACATCCCGACCACCGGCATGGCCGCCGCCACGAGCTTCAAGATGGCGGCGTCGCGGGTGAAGAGCGAGCCCCAGACGTGGCGCATCCCGACCGTGAAAGACATCGCCGCGACCCCCAGCACGCCAGCGCAGCAGAGCGCCACGTGGGCCGCTGTCCTCGCGCCACGTGGATTGTTGGCACCCAGCTCGTTCCCGACACGTGTCGAAACCGCCAGCCCCAGCGAGCTGGGGAAGATGTAGACCAGCGCGGTCGTCTGGATGAGGACGCCCATGGTCGCCACGGCAGCCCTAGCGTTGACCAGTAGACCGGAGAAGATGATCATCAGCTCATACCACCACCACTCGAGGCACACCGAGATCGCGCTCGGGATCGCCAGCGCCAGGAGTGGCCTCCAGTCGCGCAGGCAATCGCGAGAGATCCCCGGCCAGGAGAGCTTGTAGATCCCCGACGCGATCACGTAGAGCAAGAGGACGAGGACGAGCGTGAGATTGGTGGCGACAGCGGCGAGCGCTACGCCGCGGATGCCCAGGCCGAGGTGCGAGACGAGCAAGAGGTTGGCCGGGACGTGGAAGCAGATCGCGACGGCGGCGGCGATGGAGATCGGCAGCGTGATCTTCTGCGTCCGGAGGTAGACGCGGATCGGGTTGAGCAGCGCCTGGATGAGGAGGTCGGGCAGCGAGAAGAGGAGGTAGTTGTGAGCCATGGCGGTGACGGCGGGGTCCTGGCCGCAGAAGTTGAGGATGCGATTCATGTTGAGCCAGAGCAGCGCGATCGGGAGGCAGGAGCAGGAGAGGAAGACGACAGAGCGCTGCAGCGTGAGACCCATGAGCTTCCACTTGTGGGCGCCGAAGGCTTGGCCGCAAATGGGCTCCATGCCCATGGCCAGGCCTGACAGAACCGAGTAGCCTGTGATGTTGGCGAAGCCGATGGCGAGCGATCCGCCCGCCAGCTCCAGCTCGCCCAGGTGGCCCAGGAAGAGCATCGAGATGAGCGAGCGGAGGTAGACGAGGATGCCGGTGACGACGGTGGGGCAGGCGATGGATCCCATCTGCTTCAGCTCGCGGGCAACCTGAAAAGAGCACGATCAGATCAGTACCAATGCAAGAACAACTCAAAAACAAAGCTTGCAGCGAATGCCCAGACCCGGCATCTACAGTAAATCAAGGAGTTGACTTGTGGTTGTCACTCCAGGCAATCAGAAAACAATTTCACGGCATGGCATACGACTAAAACGCAAATATAGTGACAGTGACAACGCAAAACAAGCGATTGGAAACAGGAAACCAGATGGAACATCAAACGACAAGCCACAAGCAATGCGGATGGATGCGAGAGGGACACGAAGAAAGGCAAGAGAGATTTAGAAGAGAGAGTGAGACCTCTGCCGGTGTGGGCCACTGCGAGTAGCCGTCGAAGTCGTGGGCGAAGAATCCCGAGATTTGGTGCTGCTTGGTGCTGTCAGGGTCAAGCTTGGAGGGGGGGACATTCGGCTGCCGCATTGTCTGCCCGAATTGATCCGCGCCGGCAGCGTTGCTGAGGCTGCTGTTCTTGGCGCCGATCTTGTGCTGCTCCTGCTCCAGCAGGGGCATATCCACAACACTGTGGCTCATGATCAACCTTGGCAGCTCCGCAAAGCGCTGGTGGTCGCTGCTGGCGACAGTGGCGTTATTGTTGCTGTCGGATGAAGGAGCCATTCGAGCGGCGATGCTGGATTCGGGAGCGGCGGCGATGGCGGCGGCAACGGCGACGCCAGTAGTCGTGGTGGTGGTGGTGGTGACGGTGGCGGAATCAGGGAGATGATCACTCGACTTGCACATAGCTGAACTGCCCGTGGTGATGACGATCTTGAGGGCTTACCAAAGGAGAAAAGGAATAGATCGAGAGGACTGCCTTTAAGAGAAAAGGAAAGCCTTTCCTCCTTCCTTTTCTTGCTTGATTCTTGCCAAAGTTCTTCCTCCCTTTTCTCTCCTCCTTCTGGTTTGTCTTGGCTCCGCCTCCTCGCCGCTTGCAACTTTGTTGTTTTCTTGTGCGCAGAAAGCAATAAATCAGCAGAGCAATCAATCAGAGCTATTGGTGGTGGTGGTAGCAGAAAAAAACACCAGAAACAGAGGGACAAAGAGAAGAAGAATTGGAAAATATCACACAGACACACACACACACCCACACTCGCACAAACACACACACATACACCCCCTCACACAGAGCCACACACACTCACACAATGCACACCATATACAATTCCAAAAACCCTTTTCCCTCAAAGATTTGAGCACAAACCAATGGGACCCCCAACACAGGCCAGTATGGGCAAGTGCTGCAAAAAGCTAGAGACAGATGCTGGAAGAGAGTGCTGCTTCCCAGCCCCAGAAGAATGCTTGGTAGAACACAAACAATGCCCAGGCCATGAGACTCACAGCCAATCGAAAAAGAGAGAAATAAGAGCTACAGAAGCTACAGAATTGAATGCAAGATGCCCAGTGAAGGCAAATGCAGCATCTCCTTTTCAACAGGAAAGATCTTGCTCGATGCCAGAAGACTTTGATCTCTTGCTCTCTCTCTCAGGCACACACTCAGTGGAGATCAATCCAAGCAGTAGATTGTGTAGGGTGGGGTTTTCTCTCCTTTTTCTTGCTCTCCTCTTCCAGTGGCGAGAGTGAAGAGAAGAAGAATATAGAGTGATCTTTGCTTGCTGTTCCAATAATGGAAGACACAGAGAGCAGTGTATTTATAGTGTAGGGGGGACATCTACATGATACATGATGGTAAATGTTACCATGATATCATACCATTATGATGATGGATGTTCATGATAGAGATGGCATGGTGGACATACATGATACATAGCCGTGGATTTTGGGGACAACTAGAGTTAAAAAGAAACAATGGATGGATATAGGCTAGGGAACAATGGATCATCCGTATAGTCCTTCATTGAACTATTTTTCTCCCCAGGAAAAAAAAAAAAAAAATTGGCTTTTTTTTGTTTATTTTTTTTTGGTCCATCTTCCAGTTGACAAAGGTCTAGAAATTCCCAGAGCACAAGGGATCTTGTGCACGTGTGATGGGCTGGAATAAAGTCTTTTTTATCGCCCAAAAGGAGAAATTCGTATAAAATTCAGCCACATCTCTTTGGAAAAGGGGGAAGATCTCAGTAACACTGATGGGTGGACGTTGTGCATAACAAACCATGTCAACAAAACAAACAAACACTAGATGGATGGAACTATCCAAGAATCTTTCAGACAACCTCTTCAAACAAGTGGCACGAGCAAGAAGGAGCCCGCAAAGTTGGCAGATTTGTAGCCAACCCTAAAATAGTGGTGTTCTCCAGCGTACGAGTTGAGCAAGATCCAACCCTCTGGATCATATCCCACGATCACAACACACTGCCACGCACAAGTCCTAGGGACCGTCCCCTCAATCGAGTTGGCATCCATGCACATAATCACCGGATAGGCGCTCACCAGCCGCTTGATCTCGGGGTCTCCTAGGTTTGTAAACTCGACAAATCCGTCAACTTTGGGGACCTCGTCACCTTTCCCTGGATTGTAGCTCAACATCCTCATCACCGATCCCAAATCCTCTATAAGATTAACCGAGCAAGCCGAAGAAGATCCAATACTTTTGCTAGCCTTCACGTTTTTAAGCAAGCTCGCCATCGAATTAAGCGGCTCTATCGTCTTGACCATGGTGTTTAGTTTTCGATGGGCTTCCGCGCAAATCCTGGTGGAAGAGACCCACGTGTCTAAGCAGTAGTGGCCCATACTTGCCGGGAACACGCCCCATTCTTGCCAGTTTATCCGGGGACACGAATCACTACTACTACTAGAAGAAGAATCTTTTGTCAAGAAACTCAGTGCCGCTGGAGTGTCTAGAAACACCTTATCAATTTTCTTACCGCTATATCGGCAAAATAGTGACTCAAATGAAATCTCCATTCCCTAACCCTTCGATTTCCAAGCTTGCCTTTAAAAGACAAAAAAACACTAAAGTTAAACCTAAAGAGAGTGCGTTAGCCGGGAGTCGAACCCGGGTCTATTGCTTGGAAGGCAATTATCCTGACCGTTGGACTACTAACGCAATTGATGATAGCAATTTCTGGTATGGTTTTACCATTATAGCCTCTACCTTGTTGATGTACAAAACGATCAAAAATGTTCTGACTTTCAAGCTAGCAAAGCGCGGCGACGATGGCGTGGAGATCTTCTACAGCATGAGAACATTACTTTGCGACTTTGGATAGGAATGAGAAGGAGCAACCTCTCTCCCGCTTCTGTGTTGCAGCCTCTGGTGTAAAGTCTCGGCGATTTGCTCCGCAAACTCTGGATCCCATCGCCGTATCAAGGATGGATCTGAGGCGTAACACATGTAGAGAGAAGTCACTGCACTCTCCACTACTACAAGTCCCAAGCCAACCTGGTTTTCAAAGAGAGAAAACGTTCTTTTCGTCAAGCTTTGGAGAGTGGTGAAAGTTTGTGCTTACCAAGATCATTCCAACCAGCATTGCTGTGAGGCCGATGATGAGAACTCGCTCCTTCCACTTGAACCAGGCCCAGATGCCGACGCAAGTTCCTGTCAGGAGTCCCCCGAGAAGGATCTCCATGAGCAGTATCGCACCAGAGAGATCGTACGCGATCAAAACCTCTATGCCCGTCGACTGGAAGAGTTCCCATGCATCCCGAGCGGAGTGATTGAACGACTTGCCGTAGATCGCTACCTGCGGTCAAGCTGCTCGTAAACAAAACTTCGAAACGGCGAGAAAACTACTTGCCTCCACATAAGCGTACTTGTTGAAAAACCGAACTAAAGTCTCCACCAGATGAAAGAGGAAATCCACGCAGCACAGCAAGCACTCGTTCTTCCCTATGCGTGATCGAAAGCCACGGATCTGCAAGCACAACGCAAAAGCTGTTTGAGAAGAAGAAAAAAATTATAAGAACACAATATTATAGCTTACCGCCCACCGCATCGTTCTTATAGCTGCAGTGAATAGGGAACCATAGCAAATGCTGCCAAGAGAAGTCGTCATGGCGTGTTGCAGTGATCTCAGGATAGGCTTGGGTGGCATAATCTGATCGTCGGCAAGCGCCAGTACTATCACTCCAGCCACAGTCACATGGACTGTGTTGCAAACCACAGCTCCAGTCCAAAACAGACTTACGGATAGAACCTGAAAGTTTACAACCAATGAGCGATGGTACACAAGGTTCCAAGCAAGCCTACCAGAATGAGAAGCCATCTGCCGTTGTCGTCCATGCCGGAAGCAATAACTCCTGACACTCCAAACGACCACAATGCCAGCCAAACGAGCAGCAGTGCGATGAACGGGTAGGAAATCCTCATAGCCGCAGGGACAGAGGTGATCAGCTTTACAGCCTTGCTCAAGACAAGCGTCGTAAATGGCAGCCTGAAAGAGCGAGAGCGAGCTCGTCACAGAATGCGGAGACGAAAAGGATTTTAAACGAGGAGCGTACCTGTCCATGACTGACATGGTGTAGACGAACTGCAGGAGAGCGCCAATGGCGAAGGCAGTGCCGAAAAAGAACTGGCCGTCGCGGAAGCAGAAGACGCTGATCACTGCGAGATAAGTTGTCAAGCTGTGGACGGCGACTTTGATCGTCGAGTATGGCCGGACGCAGAGAAGAGCCAAGGATGCCCACGCGAACACTGCACCGAGCGCAGAAGCCACGGCATACACCGGCCAGAACTTCTCTGTTTGAAAGCCAGGTTGAAGAATGCCATAGTCGTGATTTGTAAACCGGTTAAGCTTAAGCCTGTCCACCTTTCTAAACCTGTTGAGCCCCAGTATGACTAGCACAAAACCCAAGCCGATCATATGGACTATGAACAGTCCCAGCCAGAAGATATCTCTCCATTTCCTTGCGGGCTCGGGAATCCTTGCCAATGGTGGTGGGGTGTTGTTTCCTTCCTGGGCAACACTTTGTTCCTGGGGAAAAGAAAAAAACACATAGCATTGTACGTCAGAAAATATCAAAAGAAAAGTACTACTCGAAAACAAAGCTTAAGTACTGCTCGCAAACAACGCTTGGTCTTAACAAGACAAAAGAACTGACCTTAGCCAAACAAGCAGTACTATGAAGCTCAAGGAAGAACTTAAGAAGAAACAGAAAAAAACGAAGAAACGAGCAAACGAACCAAGCAACTCCAAAGCTCAAGAGCACGGAGAAAGTCAAAAGCTTACTTGAATTTGAGTGCTCGAGATGGTGTCAAACGTAGGCTGCTGCATTGGCTTGTCTTCTCTCTTCGCTTCATCCAGTCAACGATTCTAAGCAAAAGCTCTCGTTTAGTTCTTAAAAGAAAAAAAAAAAAAAACGAATTCCTAGTAATCCAGGAATTTTTTTGCAGCAGACAAAAGGAATTCTAGCAAAATCATCGCGATCGCGCTGGAAAGTAGTGCACAGCGCGAGCGATTAAGCTCGGATCGCGAAATGCCAGAGCTTGGAGTTCGAAAAAGAAGAAGAAAAAAAATCGAGCAAGGAATGGGTGGATCGAGAGCTGAGAAATACCTGAGGCCGCTCCTGGAAAGCGGTTGTGGCATCCATCACTGCTTAGGGTTTGAAACAAGAACCCGGTGAATCCACCCTGTCCTTAAGTCAAGGACACTGTCCTCCGAATTTAAATTCTTGTTCAAAGTTTATTTACAATTTCAAGTGATTAAATTAGCATACATTATCTTAAGTCTAATTTATTTGGGTTTGTTGAGTAGATGAATCAATGTTTGAACTTCCTTTGAATTATTTCCAAAATAATTGACTAATATAAATATTCATTGTTTTATTATGTTTTAAAAAATATTAGTTTTAATATTTTTATAAATATTAGTAATATTTTAAAGACCCGATAATAATTGTAACACAACATATTTATTAAATTTATTAAAACTAAAAATACATTAGTAAAAGTGTATTTTACATATATAAATATAAAAATATCTATAATAATAAACATATCTATATTTGTATATATAAATTTTATATATTTTGATTCAATAAATATTAGTGAATATTTTAAATAATTGAATTCATTCTTATCCAAATTAAAATGTGTAAGTATTATATATCTTCTTGTGAGGTCCAAGTATACAAATACAATGTATATAGTGGGATTTGATAGCCATCAAATTGATTTTAATTCAGACCATTCACTAATATATATAAGTTAATGTTTTTAGGTCAATTAATATGCATATTTCTGTATTCCATTTCTATATTTAATGCACTCACATTGATGGAGGTATTTATCCTTGAGGAGTGTTCAGATTTGGGATTTTAGTTTAACTTTAGCTTTTACATTGTTTAAATTTCACTTTCCTTAAAACTTTTTTAATTTCTTCTCTTTTATTTTTTCTTTTTTTTTAATCTTCATGTTAAAGCAATAACCTCCTTCTTTGACTTTAGAGTAACAATTGATGTAATTGCTTAATGTTATGCAATTGCAATTAAACAATTAGACTTAATTAATGGCAACATTCATAGCATATGGTACAACTTTTACTTTTATTGCTAATCCTTGCATTTGGTTAGAATTGTTTTGTGGAATCTTAAGGATGATATGTACTATTGATTCGATCACTTTATGGTGATTACTACTTATCATTTTTGGGATGATGTTTGGTGTTTGTGCGAGTTTCTTATGTGTTTCCAAAGGATGGCATTGCAATGGTATAATGGTTTAAGTGCAACCACTCATGTGGATTGTGTAAGGAACTGACTCCCCGAGATGTCGTAGGCTAAAGGATCCCTGAAAGCATGACTAAAATGACAAAGAGTTCATCGGATGGGACCGAGTCGAAAATCGAGTCTAAGACTGACTCTGAGACCGAGATCGAGATAGAGTCTAGGATCGAGCCCGAGGCCGAATCGGAGACCGAGTTCGAGACAGAGTCCGAGATCCAAATCGGGTCCGAAATCGAGTCTGAGGTCGAGTCCGAAGTCGAGTCCGAGATTGGGTCTGAGATCGAGTCCGAGATCGAGTCCGAGACCGAGTCCGAAGTCGGGTCTAAGATCGAGTCCAAGATCAAGTGCAAGACCGAGTCCGAATACTAAATATGGGTCAAGGGGTGAAAGCCCAAAGCATGCGTCTCCCAGGGGGGGGGGGGGGGGGGGGTTTTAAGGGGTTCCCAAAGTATAGTAGGGAGAGTGAGGTCCCAAAACCCGTCTTGAAGGAACTCTCTAGGGGGGCTTCCAAATTGATTTGAGGTTGAAACTGGGGCCCAAGGGCCTTGGGTGGGAATGAACATGGGCTTGGGTGGTGCCGGAAGGGCCACCCAGGGAAGTGCTCAAAAACAACTCCCACTCCCAAAAGGGAAACCGATTGCGGTGCTCCTGACTCATGTGAAGTGGTGCCCCACTTGAGTATCTTGTGGCTCATTGGTCCTTGCCCTTCCTAAGGGCTTGGGCCTTCCCATCGGGATGGAAGTGGGAGGGGGGGGGGGTAGAGGTACCCATACCGGGCGGTTAGGCCACGGTGTTTCGCCCCGATGTCCCGAAGCAAGTGTTGCACCCAAGGCTTGGGATTTAGAGGGTCCCATGATCAAGTCTTGTTGTACCAAGGGGTGTTAGGAACCTGGAGGCTTGGTGTGCTTGGCTGCTTGTGCCTGTGGGGAGTGTAGCTGCACCTTAAGTCCAGTCTAACTCGGGGAGGGGGATTGGGAGAGATTTGGGAATCCGTAGATGGATGGCTAACGCTCCGTTGCTTGTGCATTGAGTAGCTGAAACCAAATAGGACCAAGTAGGAGCTGGTACAATAGACGGGAACCTTGGCGAGGGAACTTAGCACAAGCCAAGGCAGTGTTGGTCGGATAGACAAGGTAAGCTAGCAAATTGGAAAGGAAAAATTTGTGGCTTACAATTTGGTATCGGAGCCTTTTCCTCAGTTGTAGCAAAGGATAGAGGAGGATTGCTGGGAGATGCCAAAGGCAGGGCAGAAATGAACACAGACGGAGACAAAACCCCTACCAGAGCTAGAGCCTCTAGTCGAACAAGAGGCTATGGATGAGGAATCCTTGCATGAGGAGGACTCCGGTGAGGAAACTTCCAAACAGGAGTCTGGTGGCGAGGTTCGGTCGTCCAAGGCTCGATTGGATGTTCTAGAAGGACAATTGGCAGAGACCAATGCTCTGCTGGAGACTCTCGTACGCAAGCTAAAACGTGACAAAAAGCGGAAGAAAAAGTGAAAGACTGTGGATGCTGGCAGCGCAGAAGGTGCGGACCCTTCGATAGGGACTGAGGCAAAACTAGACAAGGTTGAACAGACTGAAGTGGAATCAGTCCCTTAGGCAGTTCCCAAGTACAAACCAAAGCCCCCACCGGTCTTCAAGGGAGTGAACAACTATAAGGTGGTGGAGGATTGGTTTTATGATATGGAGGACTACTTCCGAGCGTTGCAGTTACTGAGCTCGGAGAAGGTCCCATGTGCAAAACCATACTTGGCAGATAATGCCAAATCTTGGTGGAGAACGACGGAGGCCAACGAAGGACCGGTGGCCACTTGGGAAATGATGAAGGCGAGGATCCGCACGACTTACGTTCCTCCGAATGTTACTCTACATCTAAGGGACGAGTTGAGTAGGTCGAAGCAGACCGAAACCATTTAGGAGTATGTGAATGGGTTTATGGCAAAGAGGATACTTGTCACGGACATGGGGGATATGGATGCATTCCATGCCTTCATATCAGGTTTGCAAACCTGGGCTCGCGGTAAGGTGATGCGTTGAAACCCAACCAACTATAAGGAAGAGTTGGATGTGGCCATCAAGGTGCATTTCAACGATAACCTGCGAAAGGAGAACGCGACGGGGTTGGGGTCCAAGTTTAGCAAAGGGGCCAAACCAAGGGGAACATATAGCAGAGGGAAATTCAAGAAGAGTTTCTCTAAGAATGAGTCCTTGGGGTTCCGGAAAGGCAAATCCGGTGGCCAGCGAGCGAGTACGTGGGGGAGTCAAGCAAAAAGAGACAGACCCACGGATAAGAAGGTCAAGTCGTATAGCAGCGTGGGAAACAATGTATGTTACAACTGCAGTGAAGCGGGACACTTTTCGAGGGAATGTCCCTACCCGTGTGAAGTTGGGTGAAATTGAGGTATGTGATCTAGTCCCTAACTCAAAGTTACTCATTACACGAGCAACTTTGGTAAAGAGTCGTTCGTGACATCTACTAGCCCTCTGAGGGAAGCTCGGAGGTAGCTTTGTTAAGATCCTTATTGACACGGGTGTTTCGGATAATGTGGCTGCAAACATAGTCTGGCAAGCCAGACTAACGGTGCAGTGGCTAGGCGAACCAAGGACTATGGAGTTTGTTCAAGGTAGCCAAAGCACCGATGAGGTACTTCGACAAGTGAGAGTTGAAGTAGGGACATGGAAAGTAAACATGGATTTCACCGTGTTGGACATGACGGGATTTGACATTGGATTGGTTCAATTGGTTCATGGTAGCCCTGCATGGACAAGGTAGGAATCTTGTGGTACTGGCAAATGCCCAAGGAAGAAGATCTAGGGTGGAGGCCCAAGATCTAAAGGTAGGGCAAAGCAAGGCTAAAGAATCCTACTTAAACTTGGTGTACACGAGAGGACAACTCACTAAAGGAACTAAGGTAGCATTTTTATGCTTACTCTCGGTGAAGAGTGACAAAAAGACAGGAACAGAAGAAGTACTTTTAGTGATCCAGCGGGTGTTGGACCAATTCCAGAATACCATGCCGGAGGAGTTACCGGCAGGGTTGCCCCCCGCACGACCGATAGAACATAAGATTGAGCTGGTTGAGGGTGCTGAGGCGATGGTTCATCCCCCTTATCATTTGAACGAAAAAGAACTTGAGGAGCTCAAGCGCCAACTAAAGGAGTTGGTGGATAAAGGGTATGTTAGGTTGAGCAAGTCACCGTATGGGGCATCGGTGCTATTTGTGAAAAAGAAAGATGAATCTATGTGTATGTGCATAGACTATCGGTTGCTCAACAAGTATACAAAAAAGAACAAGTACCCTTTGCCAAGGATTGAGGACCTGTTCAATAGGTTGGGAAACGCAAAATACTTCTCGAGGATTGACCTGAGGTCAAGATACTACCAGATCAGGGTAGTAGAGGAAGATGTCGAGAAGACAACTTGTAGAACCAGGTATGGGAGCTTTGAGTTTCTGGTGATGCCCTTTGGGCTGTGCAATGTGCCGGCAACGTTTTTGGTGTTGATGAACCATATCTTTGTACCATATCTGAATCATTTCGTGGTCGTCTATATCGACGACATCCTGATCTATAGCGAGACGCTAAAAGAGCATGCTGAACACTTGGCGAAGGTGTTTGAGAAACTAAGGAAACACAAACTGTATGCTAAAGAGAGCAAATGTGACTTTGCTCAACAAGAGGTAAAGTTTCTCGGGCATGTGGTGGGCCAGGACGGGCTCAAGGTGGACCCGAAGAAGGTCCAAGCGATCCAGGAATGGGAGCGACCAGCGAATGTACATGAGTTGAGGGCATTCTTGGGGCTATGCAACTACTACCGAAAGTTTATCAGACACTATTCGAGAGTAGCCCTACCCTTAACGGACCAAACAGGAAAAGGGAAGATGGTATGGACGG